GAGGCGGGTCGCACCTTAACTCTTGGAAGAGCATTCTTGCTGCACCAAATCCAGGGGCCGGGGACCGACGCAACCTAACAGCGGGGCGGGAACGGATTCAGATGGACCAGATGGACCTTATTTTCCCAGGGGAATGGTGGTTCGCTGCTCGCCTGCTGGCTTGCTCCAATGTCGTATCCGGAAAAGGGTCGTCCGCTCCATTCACGATCTTCCATCATTTCCCGTTCCCTGAGAGGAGGACAAACTCTGGCTAAAAAGACAAGACGAGGCAACACACGACCAGAAAGAGGAGCCCACATCGTCTTAGATCGTAAGGTGGCATCGAACAATTCCCAACTCGAGTATAGTGTCTTTGGCGATGCAGCTATTCCCGAAACCGTCGCCTCGACTCTCGAATCCAGTCACCCGACTTGAGCCAAGCCGGATCTTGGTTGCGCCTCTGCCTTTTGACCCGTCTATTGTCTTGGCAGAAGACACCCACCTCGACTCCGCTGAACCTGCCTGAGTGGCCTGTCAAAGCAGCCCGTCTCCAGATACTTTCGGCTCCTCTCCCAGCTCCAGCTTGATCTCCAGCTCTAGACTAGCGCCGACTTTTCTTTGTCTGCGACCGATCCACAGGGCAAAGCTCCTTTGCAGCCCCTTGGCAATAAAACATCCAAAGACACCGATCTCAAGGGCGAGGGAGTGTTTATCAGCCACGCAGCATACGGCAATTTCCCGACCTTCTGCTGTTTGAAAGGATCTATCCGTATGAAGGCCTCTTCTCCCTGGCCCTTTCATTCTGACATCTTTTGTTCTGACATCACAAGTAACAATCGTCCATCCTCTCAGTGTTGGCCCCTACGAAACAACCACCATTTCAAGACTCCTGAGAACCCACACGGGTCCGCTGATCAGAAACACAATCTTGAAGCCGAAACACTCATAGCTCTAGATGACTTCAGTATAGCTCCATCTTGGATACCATAGAGATAAGGCCACAGTAAATAGGTCGTCACGGTTTGTGGCGTGGCTGTCTACTGGCACGCTGGCCGCCGACAGAACATGGCATTCATCAGAAAAGGTTGGTGGGTGTTTCGAGCTGAGGGCAACTTTTGACGGACTTATGCAAGGGGTTGCCTGCCTCTGCTAGGTCCTGTACATGACGATGCTTAGAGTTCAACATTTCGTATCGGTCAATTTTGCAATCGGCCGAATGGACACTGGCCTGACTATGTTCCTCATTTTGATCTCCCTTTGAAAAAGCCACTGCACCTGTGAAAACTACATCAAATGTCTCTTAGCCGCACCATTACTGGCACCGTGCCTGTCAGCACAGACTTAATGGTCTCTCTTGACGCCAGTGGATCCACCGGCTCCGTCGTTGGGATTCTCCTCTCGGGCGCGGCGGCAATGTCGGAAACGGCGACCAAGCCGGCGCCCGGCTATGGCACCCGGGGCGGATCACGACTTCAAGCTGGAACCCATATACCGGCCGGCGAGTAAGTAGAATGATCAGCAACAAGAGTCCGAATCTTATAACAAGGTTTCGCAACCGTGATCTGGCGTGGGAGCTGTTCGATATCCCCACCTATGGGGTCTACAACAACTGAGGGAAGGGGAGAAAGCAAAATAAAAAATAGAAACAACAATGAGACGACCGATCGAGGAATCGAACTTGGATCCCGAAATAAGCAGGAGACTTCACTGCCTAACCGGGGCCTCTGCAGTCCGATTAATCCCTCGACCATACGGCCCAGATGCTTGTTGTTAGAATGGTGACGATGATTCATTGGCTAAGTAGTGAGCCTCGCGGTCTATCCTGCTCGTATTCTCGGGTACCTTCTTCACAGTCAAGCAGTTCATCCTTCAGGCGTCCTGGCAAGAAGTGGCACGCCTTGATTTTCCGCAAAAGGCTAAAGTGAGCATCACTGCAAGGTTGACAGAGGCCGTGATTGCGTACAACATCGTCTCTACTGAGTGACCCTTGCAGCGCCATTTGCGAGTTTATGAGAAACCTTGCTCTACCAACTACCTTACCATATACGCAGCCCGATAGGGCCCGTACAGCTCCAATGCTTGAACGCAAGCTTGTTATTCTCCACCTCGTCAACGATGGCAACCGCCATATCCTCATCATAGATTCCATTCTCCGCTGCCTCTGCCGCCGGGTTCTCGGGCGTGTCGATGAAGATCTTGTACTCTCCAGTCCGCACACCTATATATTGTCCTTAGAGTCAACTGCTCGAGTCTGCCAGTCTTTAAATCGGAAGACAAGAAGTTGAGGAGAAGAGACTGACCTTTATCACGCAAGAGACCTGGAGGTGAGAGGAAGGTCCACGACTTTTCAGTGACGCCGTTCCACATCGTGAAGGCCACCCGACACATGGTGATTAGAGCGATGGTCTTCCTGTCCGTCATGCAGCGTTTGAGCCAGCGTTGGACTAGATATGTGACCGGTCTCAGAAGCCAGGAGTAGGCTGAGAAGAGAAAAAACTGTTTTTAGCAACGAGACGCTGCGTATTCTCTTCCAGCCGCGGCGAACCAACCAAGAGTGAGAGAGACTTACACTTCGGTTGCTGGATGTGACTTCTGCTCCACTTTATTAAGACGGCAACTAAGCTTATGAACCGGCTTCCGTGATCCAGGCCTCGCGCGGTCATATAGTCGAGGTGCTCGTCGGGCCATGCCCACCTAGTCAACCAGCGCTATTAGTTCTAAGTTCTCTTCCATATGTGAGCTGAGGGGGTTCGCATACCACCAGCTATACGCAAAGTCCTTCTGATCTGTAAGTTGAAGACGGTTTGCGACGTGAATAGATCCCGCTCCACCTAGTATCCTCAAAACTTCAGCAACAAACCCCTCCCATACATACTGAATCCCGTCAGCGGCCTTGAAATCACATACCAACAATAATAAAAGGGCCCTCGTGCGTCGAAGCCAACAGTGCATTCTTTATCCTCCCATGCGCCTCGACGCCGTCCTCGTATATGGTATCCAGGTCCGCCAAGCTGGGCCCATAGGCGCACACGATGGCGTCAAAGTCTGACGAGAAGATGTCGGTGACTTTCTTCTGCTCGGTGTAGATGTCGATAGAGGTCGAGGTGTATGATCCGTCGCCGGTGCCGGGGTTCCATTGCTTTGGGGGGTTGCGGGAGACGCCGACGACGGCGTGGCCTCGCGTGAGGAGCTCGTCGGCAACGCAGCTTCCTGCTTGACCTTTGGGGCCTATCACTGCGACACGGAGTTTTTTGGAGCGCATTATTCCAAGTGAGAGGGCTGCTAGTAGGATGAAGGTGGCGAGGAGCGGAAGGTTTGCAGGCAATCTTGAGAAATTTATACAATACTAAGGTAGTATGCATATTTGTGGCCGTAAAGAACTCGAGCGTTGGTGTAAGCATCGTGCGTCGGCGGGTTGACGCCCCTCCGTCAAGCGACCACCACTAGGTTGTAAATCCGTAATGCCGTTACAAAAAACCGATCCAAACCTCTCAGATGGTGTCACATATTGCTGAGGGTGTCGAGTACGAGCCACTCGTAAGATACCTCACTCGGGCCGGGCCAAGAGTCCGAGTGGCCGGCGTCGGGGGCTACCCCACCCCCGCAAACGGGCTGAGGGGCAAGTCCGAACCGCGAAGTGACGGGGACGACTGCCGTTCAATAATGCCGAGTTGTATGTGTATTCTCCTCCATTTTCATGTAAGTTGAGCCGCCTGAATTTGAAACAACCTGGCGACGATCACTGCTCAGATATAGCTAGATCTCTATGCTTGATATATGTAGATTGCTGGGGTTGTATGACGGGTATATCCGCCTGAAAGCTAATGGCGATTGCTTCAGCCTTGGACGAATGACTGCAGTTAGTGCCTACTTTCACAGATAGGCGAGTTCAGATCAAGGCATCCGTCGTCATCGTTGAATCACTCCCAGGTGGATCGTCCGGATACTTGAAGGAATATACAGTATACGTACGCGGGAACTTGTAATAGCAGCCAAAGGTACATAAACCCCCGTCAATCTCATTCCCGTCACCAGCCAGCAGGCGCCCGTCTAGGTCGACGGGTCAGGTCAAACTGGCTGGGTGATGGAGTGGTCTAAAGTCAACAATCAACACGCCAGCCAGCCTACTCGACGACAGGCTTAGCGAGTACCCTAGTTCGAATCCCAGTATGAGAACCAAGAGATGTAGCCTACCGAGGTGAACTCTTTTTTTTGATTATCTTGAATGATTTCTATGTGGTGCTTCAGATGCTTTTTGGCTGTTGGATTAAGGATACCTTCACTTCAACATTCTCACAATCGAGATCCGATCAATCAGATCCTGACTCATAATTAAACCATTCTTTTGTCGCGCTAAGCGCAACAGTCTACCACTTGCGAAGCTGAGGCTGCTCCTCTCACTTCTGCCTCATAGTAGCCAACGCATACGCCCCGGCAGGCCCCCGGATCTGGAAGGGCCTATCCGCGGCCATGCACTGGCCCTTGACCAAGTCCCACACCGATCCCGGAAGCCTCTCAGTGTCCGAAAGGTGATTGATGAGAACCTTGAGGACGAAGTCGCCAAAGCCATCCTCGGCGAGACCCCGATAGTCCGGATTCGTGGAGAGATTAGCGAAGCCTTCGTTATCTGCGGTGCGGATCGTACTGATTCCTGTCTCAAAGGCATCGGCTTCGAAAACGACTGCCTTGACGCCTAGATCAACGGCTTCTTTCTGCAAGATCTCGTCTAAGACTACGTGTACAGTCATTTTGTGGTCAGTCTGCCGGAGCCTTGGTGCGAACCGCTCGCCGAAACCGAAAGCGGCATTTGTGGGGCCAGAAACATCGGGTCCGGGCCGACGACGCAGGGACCGGAGCAACAACGGGCTTTTCGGAGAGACGGAAAATCCCCATGCAAGCCCATCAGGGAGACATATTATTGTAAGCTTTGTAGACATGCCACTACTGACAATACCGGTTGCCATTATTCAATATTCAACAACCAATCATCATGGCAATCGTTGATAGCTTGAACTTCATAATCATTTGGAGAATTCCGAAATAAACGAAGTGGCAGTAGACGGTAAGAAGCTGTCTGCACTGCTAGTCAAAGGAGGAGTGAAGGTCCGAGTGATGGAGATCGTAGTGTTGGAGAAAGGTGGATCACTTGCGGTGATAACTGTGGTAGATGAAGAGAGCCCGTCCCTCGATGTATCCGACAAAGTGGTGGCTGTTGCGCTACTGCTCGTCGTACCACTGATTGTTGTCCCAGAGGAAGAACTGGCTGTAAGAATCGCAGTTGAAGTTGGGCTGATGGCAGTTGTTTCACTAGTCGTTGAGGGCGTGCTCATCGAAGTGAGGCTAGAAGCGGACGTTTTCGTCTTACTAGTGTCGGCACTGGTGAATTTAATGGAGGGTGTTGTAATGCTGCTTCCTGACGAAAAGGAAGTTGTGGCCAGCGTACTATGGGTATCACTGTAAGTTGTAGAGGATGATGGTGTTGAGGAATTTGAAGACAATGTCGAGGAAGGAGAGTCTGAGAATGACGATGACGTAAAGGAGAAAGAAGAATCTAAGGGTAACGATGTTATAGAAGAGAGGGTTGAAGGTAAAGCCGATGAAGTTGTATCTGAGAATAAAGACGAGGAAGAGGAGGTCACAGATGATGTCGAGGAAGGAGAATCCGGGGATAATGATGAAGTGGAGGAGAAACTTGAAGAGGTTGATGTGGGGGAGGTTGAAGGGCTGATAGACGTGGAAGTCGTGTCAGATGTCGTTTGAGAGGTTGTTGTCACAACCGGGGATGATGCAGAAGTAATCGTGGAGGTTGGCGACGCACTCGACGAGGTGCTACTCGCTATTGTTGCCGTGGACACTGTTGAAATGGCATAGACAATATATACTGGAACTCCACTGTCATAGCCACCACACGGAAGATTGATAGGGGGAGAGATCCTAGGAATAATCGGCGGTAGTACTTCGCTACATGAGATGGTGCAAAGTTGTTCGTCTGGTGGAGGATCGGCGGCAAACTGGATGCTCGTTATACCGTCCTTGGAGCAGTAGCACTTCCCATCGAGTAGTAGTGACGCAGCACGCGAGTTGGCGATGCATGTATCCTGGCACTTTGTAGGGCCGTTATTTGTCGGATCGTCATACTGAAGGTCTAGAATATTGGCCGCGTCGGTGACCGCACCGCTGCTTTGATAGGAGTAGGACTGTTTGGAGACAAAGGCACCCATTGTTGCAGGTATCGGCCTCAACACTTGAAGGAAAAGACATTAGAACATGATTTCCGATGCTAGAGAAAGAAGCTCTGGATTTTGAAGACTTGCGACCGTCTGAAATAGCAAGGCGTCTTTGCAATAGCAGGCAGGGGGAAACAGGGAGGTTTATGGAATTGACTACCAAGCCACATCATTTTCTATAGGAACTTTGTGCGACGACAAGGAAATTGACACGGCAGAAGACGAAATAGGCTACTTGAAACGTAATTCAGAATCGAAGACATGCATGTCTCTGATTTATTTATTGCCTGATTCTGTCGAGAATGCCAACTCGAGCTGTGGTGTCACCAGCACGATGATCGTGTCTTGTACCCATATTCGGATACCAATTGCCGAGATAGTCTCACCTTAACGACTGCCGGCGTGCCTATTCACGGAGCCGTCTTTGAGGGAAGGCACAGAGGGATGGTGGATTTCGTCGTTGATTACCTAAAGTAACTACTCTAAGAGAAATTCGAGCTACTTTGTTCCTTCAGCCGATCGGTTACCCTGCTAGCGTCTATCAACGCCCACCTCATTATCACCATGTCCGTTCGAAAGATTGGCTGTGAACCCTCCATAACTGTCAACCGCTAGGAATGAAAATGCCAGGTCCATCCCATAGAACCTCAGAATTAACCACACGTAGGAGGAAACATCCAGATGCATGGGAGATTGCGTCTCCGGCGCCTAGTGATCAATCAGACAGTCAACCGATAAGTAATGTATCCCGGGCTAACTTCCCTACTCTCTATTATCACATGCCTTCGTTTTCATGGCCTGTACCATCATTCTGGAAATGAAAAGACCTCATGCCCCTATTTGCGTCTCTAACACCCCGATCCTTTGGAGTAGCCGTTTGTTAAACCGATGGCTGGGGCCCAGTCCATGCCCATCAACAGTCTGAATGTTTGCCTCAAGCTCTCGGTACAGCCCCAATGCCTCTGTCAGGTTTCCCTTGCGCTCGAGGAGTTGCACAAGTTCCCAGACGTGGCATATCCTGTCCGGATGCTCACCATCCATATCGCTGGCATCGGCGTCTTTATCTTTGTCACAAGCCTTGCGCAGGTAATCTTCCGCCTCATCCAAGCAGCCCTGTTGTAGATGTACGTAAGCTAAAGTACCTACCTTGTAGCTTGTCAGCATATGGGCTTCAGGTGCCGGACTTAGGATGCGGGCACGTGGTACAGCTCAATGGTGGCTGCGGGCTTCTTTCTCTCTCACTTGACCACGCCCATTGAGTGACACGATGCAGAAGGTACCATCGGATCTTTTATAGAGAAGAAGAGTCGAGTGAGTATTCAACATAGAATAGCACGAATAGGTATTTGATGATAGCCACCATGACTGGGCACGAGGACATTCCCCGCTGAAGTATAGAGGCGCAACATCGCTCTACAACCACATGTTATTCAAGCAAAACCTTGGTTCCTTCCGCGCTAGTCAAAACGATGCCTAGGTTCTGCTTCTCCCCTCCAACAGGCTCATTGGGTACACCGGGGGGAAGTCGAATATTAGGAAATCTTTGCAGGATCTTCACGATCGCATAGCTCGACTCCATTATTGCATAGTCCTCTGTCAAAGAAGTCAATATTACTCGGATGATTTGGGAAAAACGATATTAGTACGGAAGCGATCGCACTTACTGCCGAGACATACGCGTGGTCCACCATGAAAATCTAAGAAGCCACCGAGCCCAGCTTTGCGGATCAAGTCACCGTCTTCCCACCGACTCGGTCGGTATACGCAAGCATCAGGACCATATATAGCTTCGTTTCGATGCAGATGATATGCAGACCACCCGAGGCCAACGCCTTTGCGGAGTAAGACGGGTGATTCGCCATCTGGCCCACCGCCGCGGGGCAAGATGGTAGTACGGATTGCGAAGCGGACATTGACAGGAAGTTGCGGGTACAGACGAAGTGCTAGTCAAACTTGAGTCAATAAAATTGTCGAGGCAAGTAAGATAGACTCTTCATGACGTACTCTCATTGAGGCAACACCTCAGGAATGGAAGTTGTTGAATATGTTTCCGCGTAAGAATGCCACTGTTGGGGGTTGTTGCGCTAGCCATCTCGAATCTCAGACGGTCAATTAACTCGGGATTGCGGATGAGGTGGAAACTGTTTCTTGTTCAGCATGCAAGCCAAAAGTTGTATAAACCATGAGTGTGCAAACTGACAATGTCCAGCTGAGAAGACAGGCCGTAGTGTCTCTACCGGCTATAAGAACGTGTAACAACTGATCCCGAACAATGTTTCGATCATGCGTATCACGCCAGAGGTCTACAATGAAAGAGTATTTAACCATGGCAGCTTCTTCGCCGTATTCCTCCATGAAGTCCAGTGCTTTATCGGAGAAGAAGGTGGCCCAGTCCCGAACGCCCTTGCAAGCGTCTCGGAATTTCTTTGGCGTGTAGAGCCAGGAAAGATCGGCTAGACGAAGTCTTATAGCTGAAATCAACGTCGCATAGTCGAAATTGTCGCGGAGAGCAAGCCTTTCATGTTCGGGAAGGCTGTGATGTGGCTCACCGAAAAGAAGATGCGTAGTGGTACCCAATGTGTACTCAAAAAAGTGAGGCTGCATATCCACAACAGTAGACGTCTGTGACTCGTGCTCAAGAGCGCGGACAAGTATGTCTGTATGCTCTTCAAATGCCGTGAGCTCGGAGTCTCTGATGCGTGAAAATTGACGACGTAATAGCTCCCGAGAGTGGCGCCAAGCTGGCCCGTCTTGCGTGAAGATACCTTCACCTAGCAGGGGCATGAGCCCTATCCGGCGGGAACCTAAGCCAAAGTCCTCGAAACGAGTGCTCAAGATTGCTTCGATGTTAATAGGATCGGTTATGACATAGCCTTCTCCGAGAATGTCAATCCTCAGAGTCGGAGCAATCTTCATATACCGTGTCTGGAACTCTAGCAAACGGCCGCTAGGCAACGCATCGTACTGGCGCTTGAGAAGGTCAAGCGCAAAAGGCCATCTATATGGTAGAGTTGCCTGTACCGGCTTGCAACCGTGTTGAGCTGCGATAGCTTCCTCTTCCAGCTTAACTTTTCGATATTGCAAAAACCATCTGACGCAGTATGCCAGTGTCCCTGCGAGAAAAAAGCTGCGCAGAAGGAGCAATGGCCAACCGCTGTGTGCAGTAGGGCTTATAAGAGGTGTGGACAGCATCCTCGTGGAGGTATGGTCAAGGTAATACCCGCAATAGAACACAAGATTGAAGGTTGGTAGTCAAGAAGGCGACAGTAATATCAGACACAAAATCGTAGAAGCAGGCCGAGGGTGATGTAAAGCCTGGGATTTCACGTTCGTGCTAGAGCTACATCCCGAATGTTTTGGTGTGAGGATGTTGGCTTCCGGCTGACCGGCTTTGGAAAACAACATCGGGATACATGCTATTCTTGGTCAATTGCATGCTTTGTTGGTTTTGGAATACGTATGCCACGCACCCAGCCTTGGTATGAGATATAATGATGATAATTGCAGCCACCCGATTGGATGTCTGATTCCTCTATAGCACTCCAACAGTAGCCGGGCAGATTCTTGTCGTTACACAAGCGAAACCAATCCAATCAATTTTTTTCAGATCCGGGATAACGATGTGTTTGTAGCACCCAACTTTGCGGCAGGCTGGCACGGCTGGTTGGCGCTAATATCCTTTATCACACCAATGAATTTGCCAAACATCACAAGCTGGCCGGTGATCCAGTTGGTAGACTCGGCTTGGCGTTTTTTTTTTTTTTTTGGGTCCATTTGATAGCCCGGGTTTACACCCTCTGTTTCCCTGGCTCAAACTTGTCGGTCGTTCACAGGAGCCGCGTTCATTGCATCGAGATGTCCTCTGGGGATTCTGGTTTGCCTTCAGCCTCCGATCTCATCACCTACATTGGCGTCCCGCTGACAGTTATTGGATTGCTTCCAATCATTTACAATGATGTTGCCACTCTGATCCACCTGCACAAGATCAAGCGGGTGCTACGCCGCAACGGAATTTCTCCACCACTCCGCTCAGATATCTTCAACCGCATTGTTGAAGTGGAGTTTCCCAGGTACCATATTCAATCACCGCAGAGACAAGCCAGTGATGATACCACAGAACATCAACCAATTGTTTCGAATGCGAATGACGATATTCCTCTAAGAAATCTGAGCCCAACGACATCGACATTGAGAGAAGAATACCTTCCACCGCTACAAGGCGGTGATATCCCCGGAGGTAGTTGGTCATTCTTGAAATGGAAAGGGCACCAAATTGGGACCAGAACCCAAAGAACGCAACCTGGAGACAATCTCCGACAACCGCGGGCTCAAGTACGTTTCTGGGATCTGATCCTTCGACTTTATCGGTCGGCTCGTGTGACAGTCGATACAACGGGGTGGTGTGAGCTCCAAGAAAGGCCCCTTTGGGTGAGAGGTCGTCACTTGATGACTCTGAGTGACACTCCACGGGAGTCGACTTGGATACTTCAGGTGGCTTCCTACCATGACTCTGAAAGCTCAATTTCCCTTGAGTTCGTTCGGTCAGGTTCGAGGAGCGACTGGTCGTCTTTCCTCGGAGAGGGACCAGTGAGATTCACTACGCATGGATCTATCACTCTCCCGTGTCACCACCACCGGGATCACAAACACCGGGAGCCAGCGGATGAAGTAAAGAGTGATTCTGGTTCAATAACTCGCGATGTAACAAATAATGGGTTGGTAGCTGCATACCCAAGCTCCAGGAAATGTGACTCGTTCAACATCGAACATCTGCGAACCGATAATGACCTCAGTCACCAGGGGATTCGGTTCGCCAGTTGCGCAATGGCATTGTACGCGCAAAGTTCAACCCCAACTTTGCATTACAGAGTTCCTACCATTATACGCCGACTCGCAAAGCCAGATTCCATTCCGGAAGGCGTCATCAGGTTACTGTATGGCAAGGGAGTCGAAGAAATATCGCCCATATTTGCCCGCAAATACCTCAAATCGGAGGGAAGTGGCCAGGAAGAGCAAATACATACATCACCAATAGACAACAATATTTGGAAAGGGAAAGAGATAGAAAGACATTGTTATATGCACGTCCAGAAAGGTGAATTTCGAATATCGTAGCTAATCATGATAGCAGTACGCAAGAAACGCCGCGCTGGATTCGATAGCGACGTCAAACACATAGACAAAGTTCTTCACACGCCTGCTATGACAGGTACGGAGCTTCGTGAGGCCACCCTCGATTGGTTGCGCTCCCGAGATCACATCCCAGTCATGCAGACAATGGAGGAAGCCACAAAGACTATATTGTTTCGTATGGTGACTGAACAAGCTTTTGCTCAGTTTCTGTGCCAAATACTAGATGATTGGAATACATGGGCGGACAAAGGTGAAATGAGCGTGAAGGACTTTTGCATCATCAATCAAATCAAAGTCATCTTTGCCCAGGCGAGCCTGGTGATTGTAGTTCTTGCTGGTCTCGAGAATGGGCCAGCTTCCGAATCGAGCATTATGCAGGAATGCGCAGAAAAATGGGCGTATGTGGAACTAGGGTCGTCAGTCGAGCGTCGCGTAGCTGAGAGTCGTAAAATATTATGATTTGAGTTCCGTCTTTCTGCTTTGTCACTATCCGCCCGTTGGTGCCATTACGAATCAATGCTCGTCAATTCCTAGAATATTACACGTTTCGATCTCTTACAAAGAATTATAATGAGAGAGGAGAAAACTATTCATGGAACGCCTTCAAAGAAAGCGATTCAATCCTGAAAGGGATGGTAGGCAATGTCAAACTTTCTGACACCCTTCACAGCATCGAAAATTTGATCGATTCCAGAAGGTTCCTTGAACTGAAGCCAACATGGAGTTGGAAATCTCCTACGGGAATGCGCCAAGTCTGAGCATTAGTGTCCCAGTAGCTGAGGTCTCGACGATTCAACTCGAAAGCAACCTCGCGGGTCTCACCTGGACCTAGCTCAACCTTTGAGAAGCCTCGAAGGACCTGTACAGGCGTGCCGGAGGGAGCCGAATCAGTAGGCAGTGACAAGTAGAGTTGAACAACGGTTGCGCCGCTTCGATCGCCGGTGTTCACCACTTGAATCGTCGCGTTCGCCACGGGAAGGAAGAGGTCGCTCATAGATCCTGAAGACTCATTCGCAGCGCGAGCCAAAGGTGCCATCTTTGCTGTCAAAGCCTTGACTGAGAGGTCGGACGACAGGTCGAAAGTTGTGTAGCTTAGACCAAATCCAAACTCGTACAGCGGCTCGATTCCCTCAGCGTCGAAATGACGATAGTCGATATTCAGACCCTCGGTAAAGTTGGCTTGCCACGCACCAGGAGAAGACACTTCATCGCTTGTCAGGTTCGTAACCGGGATGTCATAGCCCGCTTCAGTCTTTGGAATGGTGTAAGGCAGTCTACCAGATGGGTTGACGTCGCCCCAGAGGATGTCAGCGATGGAATTACCAGTCTGTTCGCCAGGCAGGTGAGCGGCGATGATGGCGCGAACATTAGGATGGCTAGCCCATGGCATGGTGTTGACACCAACGGAATGGGTGATCACAACAGTATTGTTGCACATATTCGCAACCTGCGTGACCACTGCTGTGGAGTTCCAATCTGCCTCAAAGGAGACGCGGTCGAATCCCTCTGCGGCAAAGGTCTTGAGGAAGACGATGCATACATCGGGCACGGGGTAAATGCTATGAAAGTCCCCAGCTGCGAGACGTTCATTGTTGAGGATGTACTGCACGCGAGCCCCAAAGCCCTTGGCTCGCTCCTTGATGGCGTCCAGCGGGGTAACCACGTACGTATGGCGAACGCTACTAGAGCCCCCGCCAATGTCTAAAGTTCCGTACTCGAACCCGACGTTCGTTGCAGGAGGGTCTTGGTAGATTAAGCCGTCCGTCAAGTCGCCAGCATCATTGCCAAAGACACCAATGTTCATAGGAGTCATGAGAGGCAGCGTGTCATTGTTTTTGAGCAGGACAACACCGGCGGCCCCTATTTCTCGGATGAGCTTCGCGTGGTCACCACGTACATCTCTGGCAGGAGTGTTGCTGACAAGATCTCCTAAATTTTGTTGATACTGGGTTGCGATGACTGAGAGAGTTGAAGGATCCAGGCTCGGGAAGCTGCTATCATCTTGGCCTAGGAGGTAGTACTGCGTCAAAATACGACGAACCATCTCATCTAAGCGATTTGTAGAAACGCTGCCATCTTGAACGGCATCTTTCACGTGGCTTCCGAACCATGAAGTACCCTGTCCGGGTACAGTTGTGCCAGGCATTTCCATATCCAGGCCAGCGTTGATAGAGGCCGCAGTTGAGTGTGTGGCATACCAATCAGACACGGTGTACCCCTCAAAACCGAGCTCATCCCGCAGAATACCAGTCAGCAGCTTGGAGTGCTCGCAAGTGTATGTCTGGTTGAAACGATTGTAACTACACATGACTGCGGCAGGCTCCGCGTTGATGGCATCCATGAAAGGCCAGAGGTAGAGCTCGTGAAGGGTGCGGTCGTCCATGTTGGTAGATACGGCGTCGATGTTGGATCCATCGGGAAGGGTGACATTAGTGCGTTGCGTTTCTTGCTCGTTGCCGATGAAGTGTTTCGTGATTGACTGAACACCCACGCTTTGGAGGCCTCGAATAGAGCGATCCATCGCGATGCCGGTGAGGTAGGGGTCGGGAGAAAACCCCTCCCAGACACGACCTCCAAGCGGATGACGGCCCAGTGGCCCTGCCACGGGACTTGAATTCAACATGTTAGCACAATAACGCTTTATTCCATGAGAACGACAAGGTTTACCCTAAGCAAGCATGCATGCCCTTTGCTCGAAATTCTTCACCGATGGCCACCGCACGACGGTACATCAAGTCCGCATCCCAAGTTGCAGCAGCTGTCAAACCGGCTGGAAACACACTTGTAAGGTCGGCACGGTTCACGCCAGACGAACCGTCTGAGTAACAGATGCCAGAGAAGTTGAGACGCGGGATTGCACCAATGCTGCCGATGCAACCAAGGCCCGTCAGCGGGTTCGCACCGGTGACGACTGCCGTTTTCTCTTCGAGAGTAAGTTCTGCTAGAATTGCATTGGCCTTCGAAACAGCGGTGTCCCAGTCAACTTCATGATTGTTAGCTGCCACTTCCACCGCCTGTTTGGAATACGATCATCAGCTTACCAAACGTGTTAGCTACAGCGGAGGCAAAGCCAGCGCAAAGCAGCGCAGAAAAGACAGTCGGACGCATCTCAGTGTTCTCAATGGCTCTGGGTGTAAGAAGTAGGTAAATCATGGATTGAGATCGGACAGAAAGAGCCATGAATTGAAAGGAGGTCACTCTTATAAACATTGCACACCAACATTACAAGCCTCTACATAGGTGCATCGATTCCAAGTCGGGTGCCAGGCTCAAGGTCTCTTCCTTCCTCCAAGTTTGCCTCACCAAAATAGCAGATACCGATCGTCGACCTAAGGGATCTCGAGATTGGGGGACTAAATACACGTATTTGCGAAAGTCGATCTATACTTCCCGAAATGGAAATGTTTCGGCGCGGGTCGTAAAGTCTGGGCCCGGCATACACGTATTTTCTACACTGCCACATTCGGGCCGGTGTTAAGCTTAAGGAATTACGACTTTCTAATGTTCTCTGTCAAATGGGTGTCAACATAGGATGTTGGCCAATCAAAGATTATAACGCTTACTTACCTGCATATTATTGCGATCATTCTTCTTATTCCTTTTATTTTTATCATTTCCACTCTTATTCTTATTTCTTGAAAATTCGTTAGAGAACACTCTTCAAACAATTCATAAAATAAGGGGTGGTGGGAATTAGAACCAGAGGAACAGAGCTAAGGGGGTATCTATTGAGCGGCAAACGATTTTGTGACCCCTTGGCTTGCTTCTGTGTTGAGTTTCGGGTGCCGGGAACTGATCTTGTTCCGTCAAGACTGCACAATATTCTTGATGTCAAAAAGAAGAGAAAAAAATGGAAAAGGAAAAGAAAATGGGAGGTGTTTGTGCAGAGTGGGCCTTGTAGGCAATCAGCTCCGCTTACACACCCTAGCCCATCTACCTTGCACCATACTTGATGATGATCCTGATGATGGGTGTTGTGGACAGTCAATATCCCTCAGGAGATCGCTGTCTCATGCCCTACGTTTTTGGAAGCTAGTGAGATACACGTATTTCGGAAGGCAGTATTCTCTGGCTTGTTGCCTATCAAGCGTATGCAAATCGCTTGTTTTATGCACCGCCAATGGCCGGTCTTCTTGACCTCACGATCGGAATCAACTTAAGAACTCCCCTCGCCTACTTCGAGAACCTAAGATTATTTTCTGCTAACCACCATTTCGAACTGTTCCTTCTTTTATTACATCTCTTTAACCAAACGTCTGCCTTTTTCAATCATGTTCTCAAGCTTACTTCTCGCTGCCCTATCAGGAGCGGTAGCTGCAACCTCCTTTGCCAACCCGGGAAACCTCACTCTCGAGTACTTGGAATCCCTGCCAACCTTGAGTTCTGGGACGGAATGTGCCTGCAACCAGCTGTTCAAGAGATTTGGAAATGCCCTCCTGAGCATGAACTCAACTGACTATATGACTCAAGCCCAAGACTTTTACGACATCCGGGCAGTCCTTGAACCAAGATGCATTTTCATGCCGACGGATGCGCTACAGGTAGCCTCAGGCATGTCGATCCTCGCATCCTGTGGTGCGCAGTTCGCCATTCGTGGGGGAGGTCACATGAATGTAAGCAATCATTGTCGTTGCTGCTGTTGTTCTCTTGCTCTCGTGGGGTGTTGACAAGACTTCATGTCCAGTTTCCGGGATCCAATGACATAGACAACGGCGTCTTACTTGCTCTCAACCTCCTGAACGACATTGAGATAAGCCCCGACAACTCGACTGTCAGTGTCGGACCCGGCAACAGATGGGTAGATGTCTACGAAGCCCTTGCACCGTATGATCTCTACTGCATCGGAGGTCGTATGAAGACAATCGGGGTCTCTGGACTTTCGCTGATTGGAGGCTTCCACTACTTGACGAATAAATATGGGTTTGCAATGGACAACGTCGTTAGCTACGACGTTGTACTCGGCAACGGAACTCAGGTGGTCGCGAGTACAACCTCCAACGTTGACTTGTTCTGGGCATTGAAGGGTGGCGCGAACAACTTTGGAGCTGTGACAAAGTTTGTCATCAAGACTTTGCCTATCCCAAAGATTAGCACCACTCTGCAGGTCTTTGACGAGTCTGTGGTGCGAGAGTTCATCGACGCTACGGTTGATTTGGCGAAAAACCAAAACCCCGAGGTCGGCGCCGGTTCCATCATCACCATCACATACAACACCACCACCAAAGGCATTTCTGCCGTAGTTCGAGGTGTGCAAGAAGGCATTGAGTCACCACCCTCGAGCTTTCATAAGTTTTCAGACCTTCCGTCTGTCTTGACTGAGAATGTGGTCCAACGCCCCCTTGATTGGCATGCGCAGTTGGATAGCCCGTTCCAAATGTTCAGGTACGATCCCGCCGTCCTGAAAACGCAAAGAGTCAGATCCGGGTGATGCCTTCATTCAATACTAATGTCACATTGCCGCAGAATTCAATTCGGTCACAAAACGATGAAAGCAGATGCAGATCAACTCTACCGTATTTATGAGGCCTGGAAAGCTGCCGTTGAGGACATCAGTGACGTGGAAGGTCTGATCGCGACTCTTGTTCTGAATACAATGGCGGCGAGCGCAATGAAAGTAGCCAAAAACAATGGGATTGGCAACACCTGGGGCCTGGACGATACCGAGCCATTGATCAGTAAGTTTCAAAGAGACCTGATTAGAGGTACATCGCTAATGCTACAACACTTAGTTTGGCAAACATCTACCGCATGGGACAGTGAGGAGAGCGACTTGCGTGTGACGAACTTTGCTCGCGGGGTTCTTGACGATATGCATGCTGAAAATCAGGCGAAGGGTCTTGCCTCAGAGTTCATCTACATGGGTGACGCAGCCGAGTTCCAGAATCCGTTTCTTGGGTTTCCTGCCGAGAACCTCGTGAGAATGAGAGACGTAAGGGCGGCTTATGACCCATTGGAGGTTTTCACGCGACAGAATTGGGGAGGATTCAAGCTTCCCAGGACTTGAAAGCACACTCCATGAGCCAGGCGTGTTGTGACTGTAGTGTGTAGATTCCAGGCCTTCGTCTCATGCTGTGCCTCGAGCGCTTGCTGGAAGTCTTGCCGCTAACATTGCCGTCGATCGGCTACTTGATCTTCTGCCTACAATTTTGCGGTAAAGCTATTCGATGAAGGACTGAAGGACAAAATTCCAATTGTATTTCTTTATCTTCGTGTAACTCATCAAGTTCAACCTCAGAAAAAACTGTAACATAATAGCTCCTCAGGGCATTTCTCAATTCTTGAGAAAATTGCAAAATCCAAGTGCGTGGAGGAAATTATGAACGCCATGGGCTCCTTGAACCGGTTGGTCTAGGAATGGATCTCGAATTAACACTGGAAGGTGCATTCTGACATAGGCAGATTGTGGTAGACAGGGCATAGGCCTCATAATTCAGGGCTTGCTGCCAAACTTTGAGAACTCATAATTTCTCATCATTTGAACGGAGTCTAACATTCGCCCGAATTCTTTTTTCCTCGACTTTAAGGCCGTTTCCCGTTCATTTGATGAAGCGTATGTGTTCAAGTCATCTCGCAATGCATAAGCGAAATCGTCATCATCTGAATTGGAGGTTTCAGGTTGGCCGAAGTTATTAACATTGCTAAGACATCTAAGATGAACAAAAGAAACACGACGTCAGATAAAGAGACTCGTTTTAGAAAAATTCCCACGGAGTTCATTCCATAGATTTCTTGGATGCCAGAGACAAAGACGTTTCCACAGTTTAGAAGCCTCGACTCAGTGACCACCATATTCTCTCTCATGAGTACTCTTGGGAGCCCACCTTGCACTCAAATCTTGAGCGCTGGAGGTTCCCAATGACACGAAACTTCTCAACTCATGTGATCCTTCGGCGCAAATGACGTTTCCGTCTCCATCCACGGCCATGACCTTGCTGGGGTGGAACACAGCTAGTATGAAAGTGACGAGAAAGATAAGAGCCGCGTCGAAGACGTAGAGGAACACCTCTGTGGTTTGCAAGCTGATAATATGAGTAATTAGTGACTAGAAAAGGAAGCAGAAGACGTGACAAAACTCACTATCCATTATAGCCTTGGATGTACTCAATGACGCGGAAAAGTGAACGGATCAAGACCAGTACACTAACGCCGTACAAGACCCAGAGAAACTTCTCCCATGAGGCAGCGTATCTCAGATTCTGACCTCTCTCTTGAGAAATGCGCCAATGGAAAACTGCTGTGACGGCGATGAAAAGAGCAAAGCCAACGAGCTGGATGAAAAGACCAACAATGATGACGTTTTCTCCCAGTTGAATCTTGCTCGGCGACTTGGCATTGGTGAGAATACCCCCACCTCCGCTCTGTACCAGAAAGGAGAGGATATCACTCGTGATGAAAACTTTCGTAAGAATCGTCGGCTTGACCGGGCTGTAGTCTTGGCCGTTTGATAGAATGATGAGGCGACCTAACATGCCATAGATAGAAGCTGCGAGCAACGACGGGGCGATGAGCAGCATGAGAGACTGCAGTGCGTATGGCATTACCTGCCAATTTGGGGTTTGAGCTGCCGATATGGCACGTGAAACATAACCAAGGATTTCGCAGATGATGCCGACGATGAATGGAATGAAGAAGCGGGTATGTTTCTTGTGAAGGAAAATCGCGTGAGCGGCAAGAGTTGAAGAGAATAGGACGATGAAGACGCAGGCGGCAGCCAGTGAAGGGTCGTATAAGTAAAGAGATGCCATGACCTGGCTGTCGCTTCGCTGATGTATCGATGTCATGGTGGTTCGGGTATCGATAGGAAATAATAGATCTTTGATTGCGGTCCAAGCCAAGCTTTTATGATTCGATTTAGAAAGGTGGTAGCTTCTGAGTTATTCGTTTTGCAACTTCTTGAATCGTCTGTCATTGGCATTGGCTTTTGTACTGATGAAATATTCTGGCCGACGAGATGCCCGGTCTCAAACACGAATAATTCACTGGCATGTATCCCCTCGGTCTCGATCTTATCCTTGAGATATTCAACTCAGCCTCTACCCTAAAATAGCATCATTGTGGATTGTACGTATGGAGTGTCTGCCGTATAGAAGTTGTGTCCCCTGAGCTACTAATCGCGACAGTTACTCTGTCTGTATCAGCATTCATTGTGGTGACTTAGCAACTGTGTGACGATCTCACGCTACCGGTACGGCGAGAAATTTGCTATGTTGCTGCCTGGGAGGACAGTCGACCAATCTTGTCGGTATCAGAAGATGCGTTGCTCCTCTTAACATCAGACTAGAGAACTTCGATCTCGGCCCTAAAAAGATGGATCCTGGTTTGTAAGAGGGCCGAGGACCCGAGATACACATAAATGCTTGTATTATGGAGAATTGTGGAGATACGCGTATTCAATCCTAGCCATCAGGGGTACGGATGTAACATCAACGAATGCTCAGCCAACTAATTAAATACTTGGACCCTGCTTTGTGCTACCCAGCGATGTTGTCAGCTGCTGACCGGACTTAATGCATTTCATTTCATACCGTCAAGTTCAGAGGGAGAGTCGAATCATGACATGAAGAGCTTTATCCTTTCCCATGGCCGGCAGTTCATCCTTTGAAAGCAGAGGAGCAACAAACTCGAAAGAAAATTTCCAAAGGGCATCCAATCGCCATGTTACGTCGTCAACACAAGAAGAGTCGTAAAGGCTGCAATGAGTGTAAGCGGCGACATATGCGGGTAAGCTGTTTCTCGAACCAGCATTACCATTGGCTCTTTCCCTTCTCAAGATTTCTCTCGTGCATAGCATCTGATAGACTGACATTCTTTGCTTTTGAATAGTGCGATGAACAACGGCCCACATGCTTCAACTGCATCAAGGCCGACCGCCTCTGTTCTTTTGGCGAGGAGCCATACATACGGGTAAATCAGCCACGCCCATTTGCGAAGACAAATACGTGTAATTGACCAAACCAAACAAGGGCCATGATGTGTCCCCTCGATCGAATCATCACTCTGCTAGGACATCACCAGATTTCCAGCCAAACGGAGACCCCGACGCCGTCAACATGCTTCACATGGAATTACTTCTCCACTTCAGCTTCGACGTCTACGTTCCCGAATTCGATGACAACCTGGGGAGACCTGCAACCGAGCTGGTTCTGGACATCGCCCAGGAGGCACCCTTCTTGATGCAGGGGGTCCTGGCCATGTCTGCACGCCATCTTTCCATTATTCGGCCCGAGAAGTCGGCGCTTTACCTCAATCAAGCAGTCAGGTTGCAAACCAGAGCGATCGAAATGTTCAACATGACGCACCATGAAGAAGGCAGGAACACATGCGTAGCCCGACTGTTGTTTTCTTCTGTCCTTGGCCGCCACATCTTGGCTGATGTGCTTCGTGATGATGGCCTGGACTTCCCTAGTTTCTTGAACCGCTTCACTCACGGCGTTAGGATTCATGGCGGAGTCAAAGCCGTCGCCGCTCAACAAGATTGGGTTTCTCTTTTGGAGACTGAATTCGGCCCGCTGATGACCAGGGGATTGGCTGCGGACATGTACGATAAAACCATTGAGCCAAACGAGACTCTGCAGTCTCTCATAGCTCACTCATCCAACTTGGATGAAGAGGAAAGGTCAGCATGTGAGATGGCACTTCGACTGGTGGATACCGGCCTCCATGACCTAAGGGATCCAACCAGGGTGGAGTGCGGACGACGGATGATGTTTACCTGGTCGATCATGCTGTCTGATCGTTACATCTGCCTTTTGGAGCGCCAGGCCCCGGAGGCGTTGGTGATTTTAGCACGATACAGCATGTTTCTTCACTTCGGTAGGAGCTTTTGGCAGATCGGAGAGGCCGGGCCGCACCTTTTACATGCCATCAGTGCTCACCTGGGACCGATGTGGCAGCCCTGGCTATCATGGCCGGAAGAGATTCACGATGTTGAGCATGGGACACTTTCTGGGACACAAGGAAATGTTCTTGCGTAATCATCTGGAGGGTCAAAGGAGGAAGCATTAGGTATTGGAGACTCTCAATCACTAATACATGTTTAATCGCATGGCCTCCAACAAGTCTTGTTATGAACAAAGACGGGAAACCTTTACAAATTGTAGTTGAATCTGCCCCATATGCGCTCCCCGAAGACGTAGAATGATACCAGGATTGGAACAAGACTCAATGCAATGAACCCCAACAAGCTATTCCCCCAACCCAGGCCCAAAGCGTCATACATTTCCAGTCCAGACAAGGGCAATAGAGCACCAAGGAGCGACCTCAAAATTGTCAGTGCCGCTGTCACTGAGGCGGCATATTGCGGATAGGCATCAATGAGATAGTTTTGAATACATGTCTGCCCTGTTGTTAGTAAATGTAAGCAAGATCTACTAAGTGTTTTCGAACTTACCATTGTACCCATCAATCCAATACACATAACCATGACGCCCAACATCGGAACAATCCAGTGAACCCCATTCTGTACCGTCCACCCGTAGAGAAACAAGCCGAATGGTAAAGCCAAAGCACAAGGAACAGTCATGATTGGTTTCAATCGGTCTTCGGGCTTGTGCTCTAAGCCTCTGGCTTTCGTCCGCTTCACAATCAAGTCGGTCAACTGCCCAAAACCGATCACGCCAACGACCATGCCAATGCCGGCGGGAAGGAAAGAGAGACCGCTCGAACCCTCGTCAAATCCATAGTATTCTGTGTAGACAAAAGTGAAAGTTGCTACCAGGAGGTACAGGATGCCGTAAGAAATAGCGATGTAGAGGGCGTTGAGAGTGACCACAGGAGTGGCTACCAAGAGCTTGATCGGGCGCATGGCGGCAAGACGGATTTACTCTGACATACGGGTCTGTTGTTCGAGTCTGCTTCGTATCTCTTGGTTTCCAGTCTTCTTCCGAAGACGGCTGGCTTTGTGCTCTAGAATAGCAAGGGGGTACGTTTCCCGTAATACAAGAATTGAGACTGGTATGAATATTCCTGCCTGAAAGAGCGCCGTCAGTCTTGGAAGTTCCTAACGACATATCGTAAGACCGAGAGACATGAACTTACTAGAATACTGATAAGCCAAAACACCCACGTCCATCCAGCGGCGCGAATGAGATAACCGCCGGCGACCGGCCCAACACATGGGCCCAACAAGGGACCCAGCGCCCAGATTGAAACGGCTCTACCTCGCTTCTCGGGCGGCATCATATCTGCGATGCTTCCGCTCCCAATAGTGAGGGGAATAACGCCAGATAGACCCATCAAGAGGCGAAAAGCAAGCAACATTCCGATGCTACTGCTCAGCGCTGTCCCGATTGTGAATCCTGTGAAGAGGATATTCCCAAAGATGTAGAGGTATCTGCGGCCGTATAGTTCGCTGATCGGGGCTACAAGCAGAGGTCCAAGGGCGAATCCGAGGACGTAGATCGAGAGCAGAAAGGTTGCAGTAACGGAGCTGTCATCGTGAAATTCTTTCACGATAAGGGGAATGCCAGGCGCGAACATTGAGGAGCCCAGAGGTCTGGAAATGTCAGCACCAACCAAGAGATATTTCAAGAAGCCAAGAGCCTGAGAATTACTGACGTAACTACGCTGAGAAGAGACAGTGTGGCGATGTTCAGCCCCTTCTTTCCATCTGACCAATTCAAGGGGTGCTCAGGGTCGCATTGCCCGTCCCAATCGATGATGAGAGCTTCTGCGTCCACTGTATGGACAGCCTCAGGATCATGATTCTGTATGGGGGCCTTCGAGACAAGGTTCTGAGCTTGTGGCTCTGACATATCTGGTAGGTATATGTTGGGAGCCTCAGGAGCAGCTTTCGAATCCGATGTTCCTTCCATAACTGCAAACGAGATCAAAATTCTCACTCGAAAGAATTCGAGGACCATTCTGCACATATGGACTTTTAGTATTAGACAGCCCCTGTTGTCGGCCGTGGTAAACCGCATGGTATCAGAAGACGCACAATCCCTGAAACACGCGTATTTGATGTGGGAACGTTTAGTTCCCGTGGTCTTTACAGGCATTCAGCAACAAATCCGAACCGAGCAATAATGGAATCATGCGGAATGTGTCCAACAAGCTTCTAGCGGCGTGTTGGTTGCACTCCGGTATTTTCTGGCCCAGCTCCAGGAGGATCCGGGACTCCGCGCCGTCTGTGGGTAGGCGGAGCTGTTCAGTAATTTTCAACCTCGGCTGATTGGATGTCTCTTAAAGATTTTCTGGAAGTTGAGGCCAAGTGCGGAAGTCTCAAAAGACGTCATCGATAGACAGAATAAGAAGATCGGTCGATATGCTACGATGTAACTCGGCACGCTTGACCCTTGCATTGCATTTTGACGTCGCTCCTACACCACATCACACCAAAAGCCCTACTTCTATACACGGTGTAAAGGAGTCGATTATTTTTCATCAAAATTCGTCCATGATCACACTGAATTCAGCAATGACTGAAGGTCATTTGCGTTGCAGGCATGATGGATGGTAGACCCAAGATTGAACTCAAAGAGACACTACCAAGGATGATCACCCAAAATCAGTGATATCACATCACCTTTTTCAATTGCGAATATGACTCAACTGTTCAATAATCACTTAGACTGTCTCTGTTTGTCTTCATTGATGTATCTAATTATCAACAGGAGGCAGAGGAATTGCAATAGGCTCTTGCTCGCCAGGTGCCAAGTCAGGACCATCAGGGTCCGGGATGTCTTTGGTACAGTCCTGCCCGTCCTTCAAACCGTTGTAGAATATCTGTTGATAAGCCCCATCGAGGGACCCTTGGATATTGGCATCGTTAAGCGGCACTTGGGTCTTTTCGTCATTGACGTCAGTCAAGGCCTGCCTCGCTGGGCTAGGTAACGAGCTCCACGCGATAAGAGTGCGATTGGAGGCCACGGATATGTCTGTATCTTGAAAAGGTGCCATGGCATTTTCGTGGATTGAGACAATCGGGTTTGTGGGTGAAGTTCTGAACTTGAGGTCACCGACAGCCGTAGTACCCCATCTCAAGTGGTCGACCGTGTATGAGATGCCAACGACCCGGTATGAGGAGGGTTTCTCGGCGTTGCAACCCCATCGGTTTATCCAGACCACAACGCTGGCCCAGTAGTGGCGGTGCCCCTTGTCGTTTCCCTTGCCCCACCGAACCTTGGGGAAATAGTAGCTGTAAATGATGGCATCACGTCCGTGACTGCTTCCGTGGCGAGCGTAGACTTGGCCGGCGCCGCCGTTGCCGCAGCCTGATCTCCCGCCGCCTGTAGGCTTCAGAAAGACGACAACGGCTGCACGCCTCTCTTTTACGCCGTGACGAAGCAAGATTTCAGTCTTACCCGGCATTTGGTTAACGCCGGCGCCAGCTTTGAGGCCACCGATAATTGGGGTCATACCGCTCTACTGAACGCTCTGACCTATGGCGAGCAGAAGAGCCGCGAAGAGAACTGCAGATACCTCATTTCCAAAGGTGCTCCGGTCAACGAAAAGGGTCTAGACAGGTACGGGTCCACCGCGCACAGGTGTTGCAGGTTCGGTGAAGTAGGAGAAGTAGAAATGATCTTGGAGCTGGGCGGTGATGCGGGCCTGTGGTATGGAATGCAGGGCACCCTTCTCGAGGTGGCATGCAACAACGTAAACAAGAACGACTTGGGATGAGTGAGATATCTTGTCGAGCAAAAGGGGATCGACATCGACGGTCCAGGAAGCTACCTCCGCAGTGCCATGGGAGAGGCGTTCCGGTCTGGCGACGAATCACTCATACGATACCTGCTTGAGAAGGGTGGGAGTTTCGACACCTTAGACGGCAACGGACAACCGGCGCGGTTCAACATTTGTGCCAGAAAGGACGACGCCCTCGAGATGTTTGACATGCTACTAGACGACTACGTAGCGGACGACTTCTTGGCCTCGTTATAAAACAAGGACAGAATGTCACGGGATATTCTACACTGCGCAGCACATTCGGGGCATCTGGGACTTGTTGAGAGACTCGTCGACCCGGATCCAAACCTAGTTGACAGCCGTGACATCGACGGGTGGTCGGCCCTCCAATGGGCAGCGCGAATGGCCTCCATCGAAGTCTCGGACACGAAGATGTCCCTCAGAAATGGGAAGAAAAGGCTGAAATCATCAAGTTCCCAGCTCGGGAGAGAATGTCCTGGTCTGACAGAACGTGTGACCGATGGCAACGAACGTACGTGGGACGTATTGGAAATTGCGGAGTACCACGACGCGCCTGAGATTGTCATCGCTGCGTTCAAGGACAAGATGGAGGACAGACAAATTCAAGTCGAAACCACCAAAGCGTTTTCCAAGCGCGCTGGAAGATGGATTTGCGATGGTTGCAATACTGTGAGTTTCCCTGTGCCGATATAGCACCGATCTTGAGCTGATTCAGGCAATAAATCCAGCTGATTTGGGGTGCTTTCCTCATTTGCGATGACGATGATTGTTACAAAAACTTTGGGCTCTGCTTCAAGTGCGCGCCTCACGAGGATCAGCTTCACGACCCGAAGCACGTTTTCTTCATTGATGAACGAGGGGTCCCAGAATGCTCAAGTCTGGAAGGAGCACCGTAGAAGCCTGACCTAGCAGTGAATCAGATTTCGGGCTGAAAAGGGGTTTGGAGCGGTCGGGTGAAGGTGATCCTGAGGTGAATATGATGTTGGGGCGAGTGGAATTTAAGACAAGTAGATAGCAGATGTGATAGACTCAACTTCTCACACTCTAAACGACTTATAGATACGACTTCTTTCAAGTCTCGAGGGCGGGCCAAGTCAAAACCGATGCCGCCCAGCCGTCTCGAAGCCCTCATCAATTACCCCTTTTCGCTCACCTCTTTATCATAAGCAAGTCTCAGTCACAGGGATTGCATCATATCCTGAATTAAGTATTCGTATTCAAGCACGTAAACCACAGCCTCTCATGCTTTTTCAAAGGGCTATCTAGTATATCATCCCTCCCACAAGTCTCACATCCCCAATAACGCCGTCAAATGCAACCCAAACGCGCCTGCCCATGCCCATCCCTTCTCCCTCTTCCCTCAAAGAGGCCTCAAAGACCCTTCCTCAACCCCTCCGTAACCTCCAACAACATCCTCAACCCATAAAACTTAGCCACGCTCCAATACACACTCAGCCTTCTCACAATATCCGCCCTCTTGACACTCTCAACCCACGTCCCGCTACAAGTACAATGCTCCATAAACTCATTCATCCGCAACGCGCCACACTTGCCGCACTTGAGATCCTGCGTAGTCCACTCCACCACAAACGCCTCCACGCTCGCCAACAACGTCTCCTCGATCGCATTCCGATCATACTCGGCCTCGCAAAACGTACACCGCCAAGGCCTCGTCTCCGGTCCCAGCCGCCGCCCGTCGGGCCCAATCTCCGGCAACAGGTCCTCGTCGCGGCAGAAGTCGAGGTCGCGCGCCATGGTGCAGCTGTCGCAGCTGAGCTGGATCACCTTCAGGCTCTCACTCGGGTTCTGGAAGGCGCCTTCCTTGCTGAACTCGCGCACGTCGAACATGGCGAGGAGTTCCTTGCGCAGGAGGCGCGCTTCGAGGGTGATGTTCTTGTCGAGGGAGAGGACCTGCATCAGGGACTTAACGAGCTCGAGGACGGCGTTGCGCGAGGACAGGTGGGCAAGGTGCGAGCCGGGGAGCTTGGGGAAGGAGTAGTCTTCCGCGAGCTCCGGGTGGAGCAGCTCGCGCTTCTGTAGGTTGACGAGGTTGGCAATGTCCTTCTTCAGGGGCTTCTCAAAGACTTTGCCTAGGATGATTTGTCCCTGTGCGCCCTCCGCAAGGGCCTTTTGCGGGAGTTGTGTAAGGCGTGGCGTCGAGGAGAAGTCTCCGTCTTGAGGGCGCTTGAGGTTGTGCATGAGTTGGATGAACTCAATGACCCAGTCCTGGAAAGTGGGCTGCAGGCGGATAGGGAGGAATGTCGCCATTTGCCAGTGCATGACGGTGTCGAGAGTCTGCTGCTCTGCCTCCACCACCTCCTGACAGGCTTTGCCGCCATAGTTGAACTCATCGTACCATACTAGGTAATCCCAATATTCCTTGATCTCAAGATCGATGAAGTGGAAGAGGGGCTTGCTCTTGATCGACTTGATAATGTACTGACTGTAGGCATACGCGGTACCGACCTCGGCCTTGGTCGTCTGAAGCAAAAGGCGGTTCGAGTTGGCAAAGATGACCTGAGAGCCGACTCGGCGGAAGTCGGCCATGAGCTGTTGGAAGGCCTTCTTGGACATCATCTGCACGTAATAGTGCAGAGCACGGTCATACAGGAAGGAATCGGGATTCTCGACCCAACGGACCAGGTGCTGAACCATGACATCGGCCATGGTGTTGCCCTTGCAGGCCTCCTGCCACCAACTCTTCACCATCTCTCGGAGAACCAACACACCAGCGTTGGCAAACGTGCCTTCTGACGAGATGACTTCGTCGCCAGCCGCGTTACCATCTCCGGCAGGATTGAAAGAAATAGACTCGGAGCCTTCCAGCTCATTGATAAGAGAGGATGTGAGTATGGTGTTGATGGCTAGGTTTCTGACCTCCAAGTCGATGCAGACCGAGGAGAACGTGCCAGGGTTGTTGATTGAGGGCATCTGGACAGTTTCGAGCGGGCCGATAATGTCATCCTTCTCGTGACCGGCATGGTCGGGACGAGGGCTTGCGGACCACCACAGGACAACGTTGTTGTTCTGCAACCTTCTAGCATAGGCAATATCGATGAGGAAGCGCGGGTCCTCTCGCTCGAGATTACAGAGAGGAACCTCTCCGTACCGTGCGAGTGTAGTGAGATGCAAGATCCAGGAGCCAAGACCGAGATAGTGTCCAACAAGCCGTCTTGCAACGACTGCTTGCCAGCCAAGTGGCGGCAGGGAGCTATCCGCAGCATCATACTTAAGCGGCAGTACTGGAAACTCGCCGAGAATCGGAACGTCATTGATGAGCATGTTGCGCTGGGATGATTGGATAACCATCATGAGTGGTCGCAGCTCGTCCTTTCTCATCTTCTTGACGACGTCGCTGAGTTCCAAATGCGCCTTTCGCCTTGTCGTGACCTGGGTGATTTTGAAGTTGAGCTTCTCCTGGTAGGTGAAGCAATCCTGCCAGTTCGTGCCTTCCGCCTCTTCTCCTCGTCGAGCAAGCAGCTCGGTGTAGATTCGGGAGATGTTGGGGAGGTCCTGGCCCGAGTCTCTGCCCTTCTGCAGAATGATCACATGTGCCTCGTCCTTCAGTGTAGAAAAGACTCCAAAGATTTGTTTGTCGCCAGCAGTGACGTGAGAGACGTAGATGTATGCCAGGGGTGAAGTTTCAAGATAGGTCTTCGCCTTCAGGGGACGCTTGAGACCACTTAGATCGAAGCCTTGCTCCAGGCCCTTTCCGAGGACTGCATGTTGCTGTTCGTCAATGGTGCAGAGATTACCCAGTTGAAGCACAGCCCGAATATTCAGCGGCAAATGCTTCTCGTACACGCCTTCGACACTGGGGTGGTTGAACAGCAGCGAGAACTTGTCCGCCTCATTGAAGTAGACGTCCTCAGGAACCGTAAGCTTGAAGAGGTGAACGGAAGAGTGACCATTCGGAAGCGTGTGGTTGACCTGCTCGACCTCACAGCCAGGGATATCAACGTCGGGCATTTCGCCACTTCTCAAGTTCAAGAACACCTGTCGCGGCACCTTGATCTTGAGCGAGTGAATCTTGGCATCAATGAGAACATGAGCGTTGACGATACCAGGAGTTTCTGTCGGCTTGAGATGCAACAGCTGCCAGTTGCTCATGTACGTCATGTGGGCTTGTTTCATGAATGTGTTTTGGATGTTATTCTGGTTGTTGCCGCGTCGGTCTCCAAAAAGCTGTCGTCTTCGAATGCGAGCCTGCTTTTGAATCTTCCACTTTTGCTTCTGGTATTGCAAGAAGCCAATGTAGTCGTCTGAGGGGGAGGGCATCACCTTGGGCAGTGCGGCGAAGGGATCAGTGCTCTCAGCAGCTTCGGGAGACTTTCTCTTCTGGGCAGTAGGCTGTGAAGCGGCCACCACAGACGTCACGGGCTTTGGCTTGAGTAGCTGTGTGCCGAAGTCCTCCATGTCGGTTGCGGACCGACCGTTGCGGTTGGTGATGTCTTCCAGTGGCCCCTTGGTGAAAAGGTCGGTGAGCTTCTTCTGCTTCATCTTATCGTCCTTGATGTTGATCCGGCGTTGCAGCCAGTCGGGGTGAGCCACACGAGGAACCGGGTTCCTGACTTTCTGGAGCGCAGCAGGGATGGTGATGAGCTTCTGGATAACGGATCCCAGGCGCTCGAGGTAGTAGTCCCAGTCCAATAGAGCTCTCGGGTCGGTGTCCGCAGGTTCCTCCTTGAGCCACTTCTTGAGGTAGAAACGCTTCGTTGTCTCTTCAGCAGAGAAGATGGCAACCGGGATGGCTCGCTCGGTGACGGGCGCGTTCTTGGGTCTGGCGCAGATAATGAACTTGCAATTCAATCCCTTGTCCTTGACCATCTGTTCACCCAAGAAGTCTGCCAAACGCTTCGCCGTGGTGATTGAAGTTGACTTTTGCGAACCGTACTCCTCCAAGGTCTTGGACATGCTTCTGTTCTCCGAAATAAGCTCCATGAGTTCCTCGTCCGCTAGCGTTGCACCCTTGCTGTGCAATACATCAAGCCATTGGTTGGCAACCTTGGCAACGGCAGCATAGCACTCGGCGAGAGTTTCTCCTTCAAGGAAAAACTTGAAGATTTGCTGCTGGAAGATCTTGATAAGCTTCAGCTCGCCTCTGCGCTTCACCTCGAAACCCTTCAACTCGGCCAAACTGCCGTCGTCGTTGAAGACTGCATAACGCTTCTTCAAATTCTTGTCCTCCTCCTTGGAAGTGGGCAAGACCATGGCCTTGTAAGGGCCGTCGACTTCGAAGAAGATGGAGTTGTCGCTGTGCGTCTCGTACTTGAGAGTCTTGGGGTCTGTGAGCGTCTGGTACTGGTGGTTGGTGAACTTTGCGTGAACCAAATGGTTCAACATGGTACAGGGGTACGAGACGGTGACCTTCTTGCCTCCCTTGGTCTTGAAGGCGAAGTTTTCCGGAAACGTGGCGGGAAGCATACACCAGATACCGTCCGTATCCAATTCCAAGGGACGACCCAATCGCTCAACGAGCGACCTGGCCAGCTGAATAATCGTCGCTCCCGTCAGACACGTAACACCAGCCATTTCCATGGAATACCATCTGGAACCCTTTCTCATGACATAACCATAAAAGGAGTTCAAAATGACCTTGTGAGCAAGCTGCAGCGAGTCGAATAGAATAATCATCTTCTTGGCAGCGTCGACTTCGCTGGAAGTTGCGCCAGAGGACTTAAGGGCCTCCGTCTTGCCCTTCCAGACCTTGGCCTTGCCCTTGTAATCGTATCGACGATCACGGAAGTCTCGTACGGTGTTGATGTAGAACGGATTCTCTCGCTGGCAGATGATGGCCTCCTTGACAGTCGTCGTCGAGTCGTGGATCTTGTGGTAAACCTTTTGCGAAAAGATCTGCAACCGCTTCCGCAGGAGAGCAGTCTGCTCGTCGGGAGACAAATCCTGAAACGTCCTCTGAGGCGAATTCGGCCACTTGCCGGGGAACTTTTCATTCTCCAGGGCATTTCTGATCATGTTGTACTCGTCGCGCTTGGCCGGCAAGTACTCTCCTCTCCACGCCCACGGCATGCGTCTATCGCACGTCTTGCCTGGGCGGTTGAAGTCGCATGCCGCACAGTCCGACTCTTGGATCATGGAGTCCGGTTGCAGACGGTTCGTCGTCATGATGTTGGGGTACATGGACGCAACGTCGAGATGGTAGATTAGGGGTCGCTCGCTGCGGTTCGGTGTCTCCTTCAATGCGCGTAACCGAGAAGCGATTTGCTCCCTGATCTCGTCATAGTTTTCAATATCGTCCATGGACTTCTTTTCCTCCACCGTAATACTGAATTTCAGCGCGGCGTCTAAATCGTTCAACAGCTCATCGACTGCACCCGTGTCAACCGCAAAATTAACGGGAATATCCGCGCGGAAGACACCTGCTTCAATACTTTCGACGTGGCCACCGACGTACGTCTCTGAGTCAAGCAAGTGTCCTTCGTAGAACGCTTCTCTTGGCGACACATGCTTGTTTGGTAACACAATCTCTTGTTGGTAGGCCTGCACCATCAACAACATCTCGCAAAGGGTACCGGTACCCTTTCGCAACGTGTCGTCACCACCAAGCGGCAGAATCGTGCAGAGAGAGAAGATGAAGGGATGGACGTATTTCATGTACAGGTAGTACGTCGCTACAGCATCGGACACTGAGTACTCGGCCAGGGTCTGGGGACGTTCCTGGGCATATGGCGTCATGAGTTCGGGGTCGAGCTCATCGGGGTCGTAACCGAGCTTGGCGACGGTGACGGCTTTCAGACCTCGGGATCCCTGAGGCAGGTAGGAGTCACGATTCACCCAGTGGAAACAATCCATGTGCACGCTGTAGCTGCACTTGTACTGGTCCTCGCTGTCCTTCTTCCAACCAATTTCCTGGTACATGTCGATGCCGTTGATGCTAGCTCGGGCGTCCACAAAGGGCCAATCGAAAAAGTCACCGTTGTACGTCGCAATGACTGTCGGTCTCGCCTCCTTGATGTGTAGGAAGAACCTCTCCAGCACGGCCTTCTCATCCGGTTCGTTGAAAATCATAAAGGGTCCTGGGTATTCCGGCTTGGGGGTGTAGTCAAAGTCGCCAATATCCTCGGAGATGATTTCTCTGTTCGTGATCAGGAAACCCTGCCCGTCAATCATGTACGAAATCATCATGACCTGGTCGATGGCGGCGTCGGGGAATTTGAGGGGCAGTTTCGTCGTCTCGATATCGTAGGCCATGACTACCGGGTCTGCCATGGCCAGGCGGTCCTCATTGGTTGTGACTTTTGTGACGCCGTGCTTGACGTCGATGAAGTACCATTTTCCCACCCGGATATCTGCAGAGAGGTTAGTCGTGGCTGTATTCCAAAATCCGAGGACCCAAACCTACCCATATCTATCATTACTCTTACATGGTACGGCACGTCGTACTCTCTAATATCGACAATGAAGTCGCTGGCGTCGGCAAAAGAAGCATTCGTTCGTCTATCGTCATCTCGTGAATCGTCAAAAAGGTCAAAGTCGCCATTCATCCTGCAAGCATGTCAGTCAACCCACTTCATAAGCCCCAGAACACCGCAACGACTTACGTTGAAACCTCGGCATATGTGTCCAAAGCATCCACATTCTTCCTGTTCTTCGCCGCAATAGGCATGATATCCTTCCTCGCCGCCATCAAATCCGCCACATTCGTAAACCTCAGCTCCAGAAACGTGCGGCGGTACCCCAGCAGATGATTCGGCATCTTCAAATCCTCCTTGTCCACCCTCTTAATCGTCTTGACGACGCCGTCGCCAGGCACGCGCTTCAGCCACTCCTCGACCTCGCTCTCGCGGCCCTTCTTCACGGCAATCAAAAAGTAGGGGTCGTACTCGACCGTCGCCTTGAAGTGCGCGCCGTCGTCCTCGATAAAGTAACAGTCGAGCGCCGCCCGCCCGTTGGGGTTCCGGTCGTCCTCGACCGAGGTGGGCTGCACGTTGACGAGCCAGCCCTCCTTGCGCTTGCCGCCCTCGTAGCGGGCGAAACCCATATTCTCGTCGATTTGGTGCGCCAGCCGGGTGCGCTCCCACTTCTCGTCGGCCGAGGTGGCCTCGTTACGGCCCGAGGCGGCGAAGGTGCGTGTCGTTCGTGAGGGGCCGTGGTAGGCTTGCTTGCCGCCGCGGCGGTAGCCCTTTTGCGGGCGCCGTAGGCTCGTGTTGGGCATTGTGGGCGGCTGTTATGTGGTTGAGGTTTCGGTAGGAAGGGGAGGTCTCGAGGGATCTTGTTGATCGGTGTAGATCTCCGTCGAGGGACTCTAGGTAAAGGAGGTCTCTCGAGGAAATCGCAGCCTCTATGGAGTCATGAGACAAGACCACAGAAACAAACGGCTAGGTTCGTAGCAGTGGGGAAGACTTGACAATGAGGGACTGGTGGTGGGTATCAAGAAGGCTCTCTCTCTCTCTCTCTCTCTGTCTCTATCAAGACCAACAAATTAAGGCAAGTCTGTCTTGGTGACGAAAAAAAAACCAAGAACAGCCGAGAGAAAACGGGGTATTGACGATCCTAGGAATAGGAATTGGACGAGTGGGAGAGTGGGATTTGTCACTCTAGTGTTCAAAAACGAAAGGCATTGAGCTTTTGCGCATTGAGGACGGGAGTGGAGGGCCACTATCCAATTACTCGTTGTCCAGGGCAAAAAGGACGGTGCCAAAGACGCGTCGTCCCCGTCGCGACTTTACGCGAAATCTGCACGTTCTGCAGGCCAGAACAGGAGACCGGGGGACCCACTTCAATTAAGCCCAACATCCCGCGCGACAGCTGCGCAGCGCCTGTGCAGCGCACACTCAGTCTGCAGGGGAATTTAAACGCAGAGGCACGGACCATAGACACCGGCCCAGCAACGAACCGTCGACGGGGGGGTGGAGGTCCAAATTCGGTGGACGTCATCTCAGGCCACGGGCAGACTTTGAGAGCTTTACCGGGGGACCGAAAATCAAGCGTCGGGATTTACAAGAACCAGCATCGGATGCGCTCGATCTCATTCACACTAGACACATATAAAAGCTAGACCTTCGCACGTAATGGCAGACTCACCAAACATCCCGGGCCCCAAGAAAGAAGGCCAGAAGCTGTACCTCTGGTCCCGTTCAAGCCAAGGCCCAGTCGGGGAGGGAGCTCCGGGTTCAACAACACCTACAACGGCATCACCAACATCACCATCACCGGAGCAGGCGTCCGACCCTAAGCTCAACCCGACCGACTTCCAGAAGAACTTCCCGACGCAGGACGGTGCCGCCGCGCCGGGGTACCCGTCTATCGGCGAGGCCGTCAAGACCATCAAGTCGGACGACTTCCTCTCCGTCACGCAGACGCCTTGCGCGCGGGACGGGTTTCTCACCGGTATCGCCAGCGGTGCTGGTGTTGGAGGATTCAGATATGTCTTCGGAGGTAGATCTCCCCTAATTGTTCCCATTCTACCTTGCCTCAATTTGAGAATCCCCCTCTCACATCATCTCACCTTCACACTCACACTCACACTCGCACTTATATTTCCTCCCCTTTTCCTACGCTGTACTCATCCTCATTCATACTAAAAGCCAGCCACTAAAACTCTCGACCAGGCTCACCCATCAAGGCGGCAAACTGGGCCGTAGGCAGCTTCCTTATCGGCTGCATCGGCTCCTACGAGTACTGCCAGATGAAGCGGCGGCAGGAGCGCGTCAAGATGAAGCGCACCGTCGAGGTCTACCAGGAGACCATGATCGACAAGCGCCGCCGCGAGATCGAGCAGCTCAAGCAGCAGGCTGAGCAGAAAAAGGCAGAGGAGGAGGCCAAGGCCGCCAGCCAGAAGTCTTGGTACAAGTTCTGGTGAAAGGAACTCGTTCGTGGTGTAGAGGACGAAAGGTTGGCATCTCCAAAGGGATCCTTTGCCGAGCCACGCCTTGTATGAATAGCATTCCGCAAAGGGCGAAAGAGAAGGGCATCTGCGAGTGGCTTTGGCCCGCGATGCACGCGTGTTGAAATAACTGTATCATCATCCATTCGATTTGGGGGTATAAAAGAAAGACTATTTGTATCATTCCATCCATTCTTCCTTGTTCCCCTGTTTCCTATAATTCCTGTCGCAGTCTTTGCTGCGTGATGTGAAGGGGATATAGTGCTGGCCATCATCCAAGTGATGAACCGCAATCCAGGAAAAAGTCCATTCGTAAATAGACGCACCCATATGGTTCATAAACGCCCCTTATCCCTAACGCCGTACGAAGCCTTTCGTGGCTATTCCTTCAGCCTAGGCCATACCAAAGCCAAACGACAAGGCCCAATACTACCAGGCCTCATCGCAGAAAAATTTCGCTGCTTGCACCCATTTTGCGACTATTCTTAGACGTTCGTCACGACTGTGCTGGCTTCCGATTCGGTGAATCGCACCTTTCGTACGCCGCCGCCGCTGCCACCAGCAGAAGGCTTGGAAGGAAGACCAGCACCGCTCCCTCGTCTCCGCTGACTTCTTCTAGCCCTCGCCTCGCTCTCTTCCCTCTTCTTGTACTCGGCCAGCTGCAGGCGGCGCTTCTGCGTCCGTGCATATGCCATCGCGGCTGTAGGCATGAACCCGACACCATTGATGCCTGTGCCGTCGTCGTCCTTGTCTTCTGGATCGTAAATCGTAATCTCCTCCTCCTTCCAGGTAAGCGCAGCCCTGACTGGGTCAACAATCGTCTTCATCTCCTGGTCTTCTTGTTGTTGCTGCAGTCCAGCAGCGGCAGAGGCTATGATGGCAGGGTTGGTCTTGTTGGTCCCCTTGCGGCCCTTGAGCGGTGGTGTGCCTGCGCGTCTCCGTCCTCGGGCTTTCGGATCTTGTAGTTTGTCGAAGGAAGGATGCGAGCGCGGTTGTTGTGTGCTCGTGAGTAGTGTTGTGGCGGTAGCAGTGGGAGCGTCTTCTTCTGTGGATTTCGATTTCGGGATAGACACCGGATCGCTCTTGACATCGGGGTCCGGAATGACGACCAGTGCATCTGCAGCAGTGGTAGCAGTAGTGGTAGCGACGGCAGTGTTGTCGCGCTCAACGTCCGTCATCTCCAACTCAGGAACCTTGACTCTCTTGCGGCTCGCAAACGGGTCGTCGTCAGAATATCCGTACCCCCTGCCGTCCTTGTGCTCGTCGCGGGTCGGATCATATGCGGCGCTGCCGGGTCCAGCAGCAGCAGCTCGGCTCTGTTGCTGGGCTACCCCGCCCCCACCACTATTCCCACCTAACGCCAGACCACGGAACTTGTGGACGACCTTGCTGTGCGGGCTTGCGCTGCCGTCTTCTGCGTCGCTGCTCTTGGGGTGGTCGGCAGGCAGCTGGAAGTTGAATCTGGAGGTTGTGTATATCGGCGACACCGGCGGGGCGTCCTCGTCTCTCTTGCGCTTCGGCGTCGTCGTCGGGGTTGGGAAGGGTTCAGCCATAATGCTGTGCAGTGTGTGGTAAGGTATATTGCGCAGGTAGCGCCGCACTCAAGGCCGTTGATGGTGTGGGCTGATTTAGGGAGGTATCTGACTCGTTCGGGATATTGTTGGCAAATAGGAATGAGTCGGACGATGCAATAAGGCGAAGGACCGTAATTGTCGGTTGGTAGAATGTTGTCTCGGTTAGGTAAGTTGAAGCTTGTAAGCTTTGATTCTCGAGGATATTGGGTATCGTGAATCAGTGGCGGTCAAGAAGCGTAAGTTATCTAGGTAAGGAAGGTACGGTGAGGTAGTTGTTGAAGAGAAAGGCTCTAACTTGGTCAAGTGATTGAATATTTTTAGTCTTGGGAGGCAGATCCGGCAGTTACCCTTTGGATCTGGGCTGGTCCTTCCTTTCCTGAGTACAAACTTGCAAAATGCCCACCAAATGACCGTTACGTGGGCGCGATAAGCTAAACACACCCACGCTAAAACAAAGCTAGAGCCCCTCGGTGAGCTGCGTACGTCGTGTACGCCATGTACGCCGTGTGAACCTCTCTCGTCTTCATCCCATGTTTTTGTGACACCCCCCCCCCCCAAGCTTCGTCAGAAGATTCAGCCAAATCGGGATATTTCCATCCTATACGGACGTTAATGGCTGAAATGTATCCGTATCCCCCGGCTCTCAAAGCTTGAAGCGCTGTTCAGGAATACCGCAGCCGGATGCAGTCTCTGCCTTTGAAGGTTATCACGAAAAATACTGATCGACTTGTGAACCCAAAAGCCAAGTTAAATCAGTTACCGGATTTTTTAACTAAGAAGCAAATTCATTATCCATTCTAGATACTCATTGATATCGTCATATCCACCCCTCAGTACCAATAACTTCCAGAGTCTCTCTACTCGCTCCAAGCCTTGTACACAATCCTCGTGCCATACGTCTCCCCCTTCTTCAATAACATCTGGCCCTTCCACTCATCCACATTAACCGCATTCACCCACCGACTCGGCTCGACACAGAACCCGCTCCTCTTGCCCCGCGCCGCAACCCCTCCCACGGCGGGCACATCGATCCCCTCGCCCGTGTAAAACTGGAACGCCGGCTCCGTGCTGAGAACCTCGAGGTTGACCCCGTTCTTGGGGTGCTTCGCGTGCACGTGCAGCTTCAGCGGCGCTTGGCGGGTATCAATCGGCACTGCGCCAGCCTCCTTCTCCTCGACGACGACAAAGCAGTCGTCCACCGCGGGGGCCTCGACGCCGAGCTCAAACGGCTTACCGCCCTCGATGCCCGGAAACGGCACCGGCCCACCGGTGGGAATACCGTCCTCGCGGGGAAGGTACGCGTTCGTCGCCAGCGTCGCGACGGTGCCAGCAAAGGTCTCGTCGCCCGTGAGATTAAAGTACGAGTGGTTCGTCATGTTGATAGCCGTCTCCTCGGCGCCGTCGACGAGCTGCGCCTCGTACTCCATGCCCAGCACCGAGACCTCCTTGCCATCCACCTGCTGCGTGCCGGCCGTGTAGATGACCTTTACCTGAACCTTTCCGGGGAACCCTTCGTCGCCGTCCTCGCTGGTGAGCGAGAACTGGACGCTCTCGCCACCCTGGAGACCCTCGACGCCCGGGATCGCGCGGACGCCGACGGGCTTGGGACCCTCCCAGACCTTGGAGCTCCAGGGCTTGGCGCCGCCGTGCAGGTTGTTGTTGCCGTCGTTGGCGGCGAGCTTGTACGTCTTGCCCCCGTTGAGGGACTTGATCTGCGCCGAGGCGAGGCGGTTCGCGACACGGCCGACGGTGACGCCAAAGTAAGGCGAGTTGTGCTTCTCGTAGAGGTCCTGGGTCGGGAAGCCTTGGACGATGTTGACGCCCTTGACCTTGAAGGACTGCAGGATGGCGCCCAGGGGCAGGAACTCGAAGGTAGCGTCCGACATTGTGCGAAAGGTATGTGTGGCCTGTTGGGGAAACGGGCTTGGTGATGGGGACAGGTAAGGTAGTCGATCGAAGTGTTGAATCACGGAATTGTCACTCCAAAGTGAAAGAGAGCTACGACAGAGGCCTGGAATCACGCAGAGCTGTACTTTTGGGCAAGGGGACAGCAACCCTTTATGGAGTGCGACCAAGAGTCCCGTCACTGGTTGACATGGCGAAACATGCAATTCAGGCTATTATTGCTTGTATCTGCGCTTGTTGGCCGATGTAGTGGGGTGTTTGGACGAGGATGGCCGATGGAGGAGGGGGTGGAAACAGTTGAAGAGAAATGACAGCGTCTGCGGGGACGCACGCCCGCGGCGGGGTAAATTGGAGACACAAAAGACGTCCAGTATTTGTACGGACCACCTGGCGGGGAAGCTTTCCCCTCTGTTTGGCCGGTGCTCTCACTCCTCAACACCGAACCAGGAGGTTCCTAGCCCCATTTCGAGCGGCCATGCTGTCGTCTAACTGGTGCGTCTAAAACAACACGAGCAGCTTTGCGCCTTGTCTTCGCGTCTCCGGCTTTTTGGGGAAATGGATGGATCCAAAGCTGCCAAGTTCCCAGACGACCAGAGGGATGCTGGCGGATGGCGGATACACACGACAGTCAACTTGAGAGGCCCGCTTGAGCTGGGTAAGAAACTAAGACTGAAGTGAAAGTTTGCTCACATCCGCGAGCTGTGAGTGGATGAACATGTTGTCAATTGTCCCGAATTCCTGAGAACCCACCGTGGTCCGAAAATTAGTGCATTAAGATTGTGTACAACCTTTTGGTGACCTTGTCCTCTTCGGGCGACACTCCGCGATGTAGCGCCACCAAAAACCCAGAGGCCTCATGCTTCCAAGCTACATATGATACAATGAGCAACAATCACACTCATATGAATGATGGACCGCCAACACATGATACAATGTCCCATCCCAATATTCGTTACATCAATCCGATTCTTCGTCGTCGTCGCCGAGGAACGCCAGGTCCGCTCGCGCCTTGCCTCGTGCACGCGACGGGACGTATGACTCTTGGTCCTCGTCATCTTCGTCGTCTTCGTTGTCTTTGACGTTCTCGTCGTCAGAAACATCATCCTTCACAGCCTTTTTGGGGGTTGGTTGGCCACGCGCCTTGCTTCGAGACGATCTGCCTTCTGCGCCCCAATTGGCATTCATCTCCTGAACTGCTTCCAAGTCCGCCTCCAATTCTCTGCGCTCCTTGATCTCTTTTGCCTTTGCTTCTGAAAACCGACCATCCATTCCAATGTCTTTGAGCATGCCTCTGAGGTGCCTAATCTTGGCCTTGGTATCGTCTCCGTATTGCTTCAACTCGAAGCCCCAGATTTTGCGAATACCACACTTGACCAGATGAGATTGTAGCTTTTTGATTTCCGCATCGTCAGGGTTCTCTGAGGCTGCCTGTGCCTTCTTCTGCTTGGTGGCCTTAGCCTTGGTCTTGGGGCCCGCTCCAGCTTCCTTCTTCTTGCGTTTCGGCTTGGGTGGCTCGTCTATCACGTCCGATAGCTCGCTGGTCGTGTCGTCTGCTGGCGCCTCGCCCTTCTTCTCGTCTGAAGCTTCGGGGTGCTTCTCGATTGACTCCTCATCCTTTTTTGCCTCGACCTTCTTCTCTTGTGACTTTTCCTCCTTGTCCTCGACCTTGTCGTCCTCGCTGTCAGGTGGAGAGCTCAAGGCATCTGAACCACTCTCTTCAGCCTTGCCCGCGCGTCCGTTGGTGGGTTTAGACGCCTTCGGCTTGGCAGGGCTCGCTTCGTCAGAATCAGAGTCGATCACAGGAGTTTCCTCCTTCTTCTTCCGCGGGGCTGCTTTCTTCTTCGGCTTCGCCTTTGGCTTTTCTTCCTCGGAGGCGCTCGCCTCGGATTCTTCTACTTTGGCAGAGGCGCGCTTTCTGCGCTTAGCAGGCGGTGATTCATCGGCTGCTTGACGCTTGCCAGACTTCTTCGGCTTCGCATCTTCTTCATCTTGGTTAGGCTCGACTTCTGCATCGGGGTCTGCGTTGCCCTCCACGAGGTCGGTCTAGTATGATGTCAGAAAGACATGCTCCGACACTGTTGGCGGTGCTCGTGCCTATGCCAGTGCCAGGGAGGGGCTAGGTAATTACAGCGAGTTCCTTAATGAGCTTTTTGCTCTTATCCTTCCATTTTCCTGAAGAGAGCATTTCATCTTCGAGCTCGAGATCTGATTCGACGCGCCTTCGGATGGAGTTCACGTTGAGGTTATCGATATCCGTCTTGAAGACCTCGCGGACTTTGGCGAGGATCGTCGCCTCGATCTCCTTGTCTGAAGGAGCCATGCTTGTAAGATTGGCCGGGATGAATGGAGTCAATGGTGCAATTGAATGTTGATGCCGTCAATAAGGAAATTTACAGCTTCATTGGACATTTGGCGCGGAATGGGGTAGAATGCAGGAGCTTCGGGGCTCTGTCGCGCAGGAAGTCGCGTCGAGGGACGGTGTCTGAGCGCAGCAGGTGGACGGCGACGCGGGCAGGCGCAGATCAAGCGCAACCGGGGTAAGCTGCAACTGATTCGACCGGAGTGGGGCGGCAGTCATCCGACGTCAATATCGGGCCTGGTCCGAGCTTTTTACATAGAAGGCAGGATGCAACGGCGCCGGGAGGAAGGAGAGATGGCAGTATTGTGCGCGTGTTCGAAGCAGCCATTCCTTTCTTGATAGGTACAACGCAACTATCAGTCTTGATAAAGTAAGGCTGCTACCTCTACAGTTCTCCTAACTATCACTCGCCGGCCAGGAACGATGACGTATTGTCGAAAGTGGGCTTACTTGATCTGATTTGCGACATTGTGTAGTTATGTAAACCATAAGTGCTGAGGTTTGGTCTCGAAAGCAGCTTCATTATTTAGCACAAGGTGGACGACGAAAGCTCGGAAAGTGAATGTAAGAAAGGTATGGAGTCCCTCAATGCCGCCGTTTGTTTTATGTCCATGATATATCTCTCGATAATTTAAAAGTGTGCAAAGTCGGATCTGAAATGAATGTAAGCCGGTTCATCATGGGCGGGCCGAGGAATAACACCGCAGTCAACCTCGCAAACTTGAATTTGCGGGTGTCAGGACATTTTGGTCCGAAACTTATGGGGCCGTCGATGTCAGTCCGCGGTAGCCAAACAGGGAGCCTGGTCGACCTTGTGGGTTGGATGATTGGGCTAGATCGTTCTCTAAGCACCTAGCGTATGTCATTGGTTACGAAATGGTCGAAATGCCCAGCAATCGGGCCCGAAGCTCCTACCAACTACAATGACAGAGGGTAAGCATGTTGATGATGATGCTGGATAATATTTGATACTAGGATGGTGACAGCACATTTACGTTGCGGGACCGATCACCACTTAATGTGTGCCCAGCTATAAATGCGAAGCCCCACTAGCTTCGAAAGCCTCGGGATTTAGCGAAAAGATGCAAGGTACTCTTCTCTCCAAAGAGTAAAGAGGCAGCTGGAGAAGCGCAGTTGAGGGGGGAAGGAAGGCTCTTGTGTGGCAGCGACAAGCTCACATTGTCGCCGGGAAGCCAGCTGAAGCCTGGAGGCTCGATTTGCAGGAAAGACCGGATGTCATTACGATGGGTGGATGCAGGGAAATTTTCAAGAGACATCGTGAACATTCTCTCCTCTACCGCCGATAAAGTACCCACATCTCGGCGCCGGATTCTCCACCATCTGGCGGAAGGTGCCCAGGTTTCATGTACATCTACTTGACACCTCAAGCTCTGGATGTCTTTTGGGCTCGTCCTGCGAGAGAAATGGATGGCAGAAGACGCAGGTGAGACAGATTCGGCTGGACGGACCTGTTGGAAAAATATCGCTCATATTGCCTCTCAGTCAGATTGTCTCTTTGTCTGGGCCAGAAAGACAGTGGTAGGCGAGACGGGCCTGTACATAGGTAGAGAGAGGTTGGAGGGGTGGCAGAGAAAAGAGTGACAGGGCCGGGAATTCCTCGCAGTGATTTGACAAGGATCTCTACCCAAAATTACGTAGATGGCACCGCAGCAGGTATCTGTACGAAGTACCAGCAGCGCCCAAAATCAAACACCATCCTCTGTACAGGACCTTGCTCTCTGAGTAGGCATGCTCCGGCTTTGACCTCATCTCAGTGTAACAGGTCATTGGATGCTGACCTTGGGTAGCCATGTTTCGTCTGCCGCGTTTGGTGCTCTTCTCTTATCTTGAAATGTTGCCAACCGAATAAGACCAAACATGTAGACTAAGAAAGGCGTCAAACCCATTCGTACTTTTCTCCATTGCCTTTACCCAGAGTGCCCCACAAACCAAGTACCTCTACTTCTGGGGAAACGCAAGCTCTGCCTTACAGTAGTGCGCCAGTGTTACATCAGGTCGAGCTTTCTCCGTTGTGCAGCTGCTGCCCGTCTAGTTTGGATTGCACTGAACCGGATTGGCACTTTCTTGCTTCTTCTCAACACCCTCTCGTCTGCCCTCTCACCCGCCAGGACCTCACTCAGTCAACAAACGCAACCTGACAAGCCAACCACCGACTAGCCGCCGTCTTCCTTCTCTTTCCACCTCACCCTATCTTCACGCACCTGAGGTTCTCTTCTCTCTCCATCCACCCAGACCAAGCTTGTCCTACATTGCACTGCTTGTTTTTGTGCATTACGTTTCCACGTAGCTTGCGTCCGACAGCCCAGCTTCTTCCAATACCGCTGCATCCCTACCGTCCCGTCAACACACCTTATACATACACTAGTCGCCGTCGCCCTTGTTTGAAGCTTTTCTGCGAACCACGACTCACTCCCACCTCTCTCGGCAACTCAAGAAGCTTACGACTTTTGCGACGGAGCTGTGTCCAGCACCAATCTGCCCATTTCGATCTCCCTCAGAGAATCAAATAAACACCAGCCCACCCCTGTGTGCTTTTCCCGTCGCCGTCACTTGAGTTTTGAGTACTTGATCTTCCTGGAATTTATCCCTCCATCATCCCCGCAAGCTCATCCCAGCCAGTCTCAGCTAACACCTTACCCTGCCGCCACAGGACACCCCAGCATACCTTAGCTACTGCTGTTCCCTAATTACCTGCCACCCATCGAACGAACCCTCCACGAAATCTTTCGCACCACCATCTTCCACCGAACACCTTCAGCACCAAGCAAATCGCCCAAGATGCCTTCGCTCGTCCCCGATGAAGAGACTGCGCCTGGTCGCTTACTACTGCTCTCCAACCGACTGCCCATCACTATCAAGCGTTCCGACGATGGCAGTTACTCCTTCTCCATGTCCTCTGGTGGTCTCGTCACCGGCCTCAGTGGTCTGTCAAAAACCACCAGCTTTCAATGGTACGGATGGCCAGGCCTCGAAGTTCCCGAGAACGAGATTGCCGGCATGAAGCAGCGTCTCAAGGACGAATACGATGCTCATCCTGTCTTCATTGACGACGAGCTCGCTGACAAGCACTACAACGGCTTCTCTAGTATGGACGACCCTCCCTTGCCTCTATATTTCCTAGCTTGACTAACAGCCAAACCTTTTTCGCAGACTCTATTCTCTGGCCGCTCTTCCACTACCACCCCGGCGAAATCACATTTGACGAGAGCGCATGGGCCGCTTACCGCGAAGTCAACCGCCTGTTTGCCAAGGCTGTCGTCCAGGACGTTCAGGATGGCGATCTGATCTGGGTTCACGACTACCATCTGATGTTGCTGCCTGAGATGCTTCGCGAGGAAATCGGCGACTCCAAGAAGAACGTCAAGATTGGCTTCTTCCTGCACACGCCTTTCCCTTCTTCTGAAATTTACCGCATCCTTCCCGTTCGCGAAGCCCTCCTGACGGGCGTCCTCGACTGCGATCTCATCGGATTCCACACCTACGACTACGCTCGTCACTTCTTGAGCAGTTGCTCTCGCATTCTGTAAGACGCAATCGAAAAGCGAAAGCTTGTTCTCTTAGACACAAACTGACGTCACATGTAGTGGAACTCCTACGACCCCCAATGGTGTTGATTACAATGGCAAATTCGTCACCGTTGGCGCATTCCCCATCGGTATTGATCCTGAGAAGTTCGTCGAAGGCCTCAAGAAACCCAAGGTCCAGGAGCGCATTGACGCTCTTACGCGCAAGTTCAACGGAGTGAAACTCATTGTCGGTGTCGATCGCCTCGACTATATCAAGGGTGTCCCTCAGAAGCTCCACGCATTGGAGGTCTTCCTGACAGAACACCCCGAGTGGATCGGCAAAATTGTGCTGGTTCAGGTCGCCGTGCCTTCAAGGCAGGACGTTGAGGAGTATCAGAATCTGCGTGCCGTGGTCAATGAGCTTGTCGGCCGTATCAACGGCAAGTTTGGCACCATCGAGTTCATGCCCATTCACTTCCTCCACCAGAGCGTCTCCTTCGACGAGCTCACAGCTCTGTACGCCGTTTCCGACGTCTGCCTTGTTTCCTCCACACGCGATGGCATGAACCTGGTCTCGTACGAGTATATCGCTACTCAGCGCGAGCGTCACGGTGTCATGATTCTGTCCGAGTTCACCGGCGCCGCCCAGTCCCTCAATGGCTCTCTCATCGTCAACCCATGGAACACTGAAGAGCTAGCAAACGCCATCCACGATGCCGTGACCATGTCCCCGGAGCAGCGCGAGACCAACTACAAGAAGCTCGAGCGCTACGTTTTCAAGTACACGTCATCCTGGTGGGGACAGTCCTTCGTCGCCGAGATGACTCGCCTCTCCCAGGAGGCGACGCAGTCCAAGACGTTGAAGAACATTGGCGGCAACGTGGTTGGTCAGGTCACCAAGGCGATTCAGGGCGCCGTTGATAGCGTCACCGGTAGCAAGGATGGCGCGGAAGATGCAAAGGAGACGAAGGCGGTAAAGCAAGAAGCATAACGGCCAATTGTACATCCAACAAAACTTGCAAACCAGGTTATTTACTTTTCCACTGGACAAGAGGCCGCCTGACCCATTTTAACGAAAGCATGATTGAAAGAGAGAAAAGAAGAAGACCTTGCCCTTTTCGGGCAAATTTTAGCTGGGCGAGGAAGCATACATGATCGGGAACAATGGCATCGAGCCGAGCGGAGTTTTTTAGGAGCTTTTTTTGTCATATGCTTTTGTTTCATTCCTGATGGTGGAGAGGGCAATATGGATGGACGGGTCGCATTGAGAGGGAAATGTGTCGTACAAGAGGTCTTTCCAATGCAACGATTTCGATTTGGTTTCTCTAGGGGGCATGACCGTAATAGACTATCTACTACCTACTTGTTCCACGAGAGCTGTGGACCATTGCAAACCAGCCCACTATGTGAACGACCAAATGCACAGTATCAAAGGCAAGCAACGAAGAGCAATCAGACTTCATGGGGATTCAGAATTGTATGAATTTGAGAAAAACCGGCTAATTTCGCATTTGCCTGAACAAGAAATGCAGTGAGGAACAAACCACCAAAGCTTGCTCACTCGCGGAGCTCTTCAAAAGGTATCTAGAAAAGTACCCCTTCTTCTCGTCATGGTACAATGTCAAGAGAGAGAGGAGGCAACGAAGTGAAAAAGCAAGCAAGAGTGAAGATACCTGGCGGCACAGAGCAAGAAGAAGAAGAAATAGAAAAGAGGTAAACGTGTTGTGCCGTAAGTCCGTCCCGTAAAGCCCCCGTCATCCTCCCTCATCACACTCCCGTCCCTTTGCGCTACGCGAATTCAGCGTACTCTCAACCTTGGAAACGCCATCGTGGGGATCAAATAGTCCAACATGAACGCATCACACATAACACACAAAGAAGACCCCTCTCTCGCCTAACTCAGTACGGCGACGCGACGATATCCTCCTTGCCCAACTTGTACCGACCGCTCTTGGGCGTCGTGATCTGTCCAGAATCCCTGCGGCCCATGCTGAGCTGTGCAAAGTTGCCGGCGATGCTCTCGCGAGTAGGGCGCTTGAGACCCTGCTTGCCGACCATGTTGACCTCGTTGGGGAGGGCGACGATGACGTTCTTGTCCGTTCCGAACTTGAAGTCGTCAGCCTTGACCTCTTCGGCGTAGCGCTTGATGCGGTAGGCGGCCTTGGCTCCGCGCAGGACCTTCTTCAGGCTCCACTCCACAATGTACGGACCGGTGGCGGTGATGATGCTCGTCTCTTCGACGCCCTCGCCGGCGTTGAAGCGCGCAGGCGTGAATGACACAGGCTTGCCGGTCTCGTGGGCGAACTGGGCAACGTGCTCGGGTGTCAGAGCCAGGCGGCGAGGTTGAGGCTTGTCGGAAGCCGCGAAAGACTTTTCGAAACCAAGCTTGCCCTCGTTCTTGCCAGACTTTTGCATCGCGTCGATGAGCAGGATGTACGTTCGGCAGGTGGCGAGGACCCAGCGACCGTCGGCGGATGTGTCGAGACCGAGAATGGCTTCACCGAGAGCGGGGATGTGGGTTTTGGCGTTGATTCCTAGGCGATCGAAGAGGCGTACATCGCCCTTGTTGGAAGCGACGGCGATGTATCCCTTCTCCGTAGTAGAGATAGCCGAGAAGTCGTTCTTGGAAACGTACTGCTTCAGCTGAGAATCAACCAGCTTGGTGCCGGACAAACGGGGGTCGACGCGGTAGAGGGCATTCTTCGAGATACCAAGGAAGGTCGGCTCGTGAGTCATCTGGGCAAACTTATTCTCGGGAGCAAAGTTGAGAACAGGGATGTCCTCATGAACATTCCACTCGTCAACGACCTTGCCGTACTCGAGATCCATACGATACAGCTTATTGGGATCCGACTCGTTCTGAAGAATCATGTTGCGATCCTCGTTGTGAAGCATGACCTTCTTGGGGCTGAACAGTGTGCCCTTGGGAGTCTCGACCTTGGAAATGTTGGTGGAGAACTCGAGATTGTTATTCGCCGTGTGCTTGAAGACGCCGATCTTGGATCCGCGCACGACGAAGGACCGATCATGCTTGTAGCCAACAGCAAGCTGAGAGTTAACGTTGCCATCTTCGTCCTTGGTCTCAACATCGTCATCCTCCTCGTCGCTGTCGTAATGCTCGCTACGCTGCGCATCATCCTCTGCATCTTCGTACTCCTCTTCCTCTTCCTCCTCCTCCTCCTGCTCTTCGGGTGTATCCTCCATAACCAAATCATTGAAAGCGGAGGTAATGTACTCCTGCTCTCTGTCCGTCTTCTTTTCCCACTTGACCTCGTTCAGCTGCTCCCACAAAGCTCGGAGAAGAGCTTCTTGGAAACGTTCCAAAGTCGGCTGGTCCTTGAAACGGAGCAGCCAAGAGTATGCTGAGCCATCGGCAGAGAAGTGGTTGAAGATGAAGGACAAGAACTCAAAGTTGAAGACAGGGTTGATATCTGCGATAATCGGGATGCCCAACCAAGCACGGTCCTCGCTTTCGATTTGCAGCCAGTACTCCCACTTTCCAACTTCGGTGACGGTGGCAGTGACAGCGGCAGCTTGCTGGATAAAGGAGCCAGAGGGATGATCGTAGAAGTGAAGCTCACAGCTCTCTGTAGCGTACGTGTCGAGAGCCTCTGGGGCCTCCGCTGACTTCGGAGGGCCAGTCGGCTTGGATTTCTTCTCCGGTGTGATAGGCATCTTCGCCGGCGTCTTCGTAGGGGTCTGGACAAGTGAATGCTCTTCCTTCTTTGTGGGTGTGATCGGGTCTTGCGGCACAAACAGACTGTCGGCAGACTCGATTGATCTGACGAGAGTAGGGCTGTGGATGGGACTTGCGGGAGGAATCGGCTGCTCGTCCTCAAATTCGAATTGCTTCAGGTCGACTTCGGATGCTGTTGTATGCGGCTTGCGGTATTTGCGCTCGTACTGGCACTCCTTGGCGACTCGCTCGAATTGCGCGACTTGACCAGGAGACACAACGTTGTCGCAGACGAACTCGTAGACGTCACCAGTATCACCACTCAGGTCTCTCCAGGCCAGAATCTTCTCCTTGCCTTCCCGAATCTCGATGCGGAAGTAGAGGGCCTCGTCAAGCAGGAAGGTCTTTTCGTCTCTTTCGGCGGCGGCAAGTGCGTCGATCTCGGCGTCCTCTCCTTCCTCCTCGGCTAGAAGTTCGGCCTCGCCTTCCTCGTAGACTCTCTGTACCACGAGCTGGTATTGGAAATCCTGCGCAGTTCGTCGGATGCGGGCAGCTGCGTCCTTGAAGATGAGTTCGGAGTAGCCCTTTGGCGAGAGGGGGCGAACGAGGTAGAGTTGCCCTTGGGGGAGCTCGATGAGAGATTCTTGGTTGCTAGATCCAAAGATAAGTTTGCCAACTGGAAAAGAGGCAAGTTGTTAGCATGTACTTAAGGGCTCTGGGAAATCGCAAACGAGCGCGGCAGTAAGAAGGTGGAAAGGCGTTGATCGCGAAACGGTAACAGAAAATGACGCCAACGAACGCTTCACATGCGCCTCGCTGTCGGTCGCGGGATAAGGCTAAGCGGCGCGGCGAACGCTCCGAGTGATAGGTGAGTAGCGGGGTAAACTTACCGTTTCTGAGGACAAACATCTTGAAGTTTGGGTCTTGTTTGGAAAGCTGTGTTGATCGTGGGCAGAGAGCTCTTGCGACGTGGTTTTGTATTTCTTCAAAGCAAGCCCGGCCGCTGGGTTGATCAAAAGGACAAAGAGACGGAAAGTCCCAGACCTTGGCCACGAAACAAAAGTGATCAGGCACTAGGGAAGAAAATGCGTCATAAGAGGGAGCTTTTGAGTTGGGGTTCAGATGATGGAGGGGTGAAATGGCCTGTGGCTGTGCACGTCCCTTTTTCCTCCCAATTTTTTTGCCACGGCAACACAAGGTCCCTGAGCCACGGTGCCACGGGACCGGGGTATCACGTGGGGCCCCCCGGCAGCGGCCGATCCAGACCCACCCGGACCCTTCTATCCTGCTAGGCAGTACCCTTCCAGCTTCTTTCCCATTGCTTCACAGACATAGCGCCACTGCGAAACAAGAGAATCAAGGTGTTGGAGGCCTCAGATTTGTCTTCAATAACGACACCCTGACTTGTGGCAGTAATCCTTGCGCCTCAACAAACGACAAGAAGGCTATACATAAGTTGTGGGCACATCTAACATGTGTCACCGGCTTACACGTATGTAGACGCCGGCATCCGGAAGGTGATGGGTGACAAGGATCGTTTGGTGAAATCCCATCCTCAATTTGTGATTGAAGTAGAAATCAGTATTCTGCGCTCGGAATACAATTATTCCAGACATATCAGGTGTCCTCAGAAACAATCTGCTGCCTTAGGAGTTGAGTAGTACTCCAAAAGACATGGGGCTTTGGCCACTGAGGAAACCCCGAACCATTTACGAGGCAGCTAGCTCAGTGAGTGACGTTTCGAAAATCTTTCTCTTGAAGAAAGTCGAATAAGGGAACACAATCTGGTGCAGAATGCCCAACAACAACTATCATTATATACAGTTCTTTGAGATTACTACGTCCTACGCATGTTTCAATAGTGAGTAGAGCCCGGCACTGAAAGATATCAAACGAACAGAAGGAAACAATACTCTTCAACCCAGAGTAATCACAGCTCCTCAGCCACGGGCGCCTCCTTCTCAATTTGGCCCAGTACCTCCTGCGCACCATCGACCTCGATCTTCTCCTCGAGTGTCTCCTTGGCCTCTGAGAAATCGTCGGCAATCAACTTTGCAATGTTCATCCCCATCAAGGCGCTGGTCTCCATACACGAGATGAAGCTTTCGACGCCCGAAAGATAATAAAGTCCGTCCCTCAGGATGGGGTCTTGGAAAGTGACACGCGGATATTCAATGGGGTACGAGTTGAACACATGCGGGTAATACCAAGAGATGGGTTCAACAGTGCGCTGGCCAGCTTCCTCTGACTTTTTGCCCGCAACAATGGACGCCGGCACTTCAACGCCAAGCAGCTTTGACAGGAACTCTGCCGTCACCTTCTTAGGAGAGAAGATCTTGTAGAGAAACTCGTCCTTGAGAGTGTCGGGGTTTGTAACGGTTCTGAGGGTGCTGACAGAGTAGAAGCCAGCCTTGCCAGCACCTTCAGAGCCAGCCTTTGCCTCGTCATCAGGGCCGAGCGTTGTCAAGACTGAGTCGGGTGCCTTGGAACCAGGCTCGAGACCAAAGTACTCTGGGGAGAGGTGGAACGGTGAGGCGAAAAGGGTAACGTGAAGCTTGGTGTAAGGAACCTCATCAATCTTGTGCTGGAAAAGATCCTCTGCGACACTGATATCTCCATACTGCCAAGGAGTCGCAATGACGACGTTGTCGAAAGCAATCGGGTACTGGTTCGACTCTGCCTCGGCTTCAGCATGAGCGTCTTTGGTTGAAAGTAGATACTTGGAGCTAGAAGGGCCAGACTTCACGGCGATTGATGTCACCGAAGTGTTGCGATGCAATGTTGCGTTACTCCTTTGAAGCATTGTCTGGAAAACCTGCCAGTTGCCTCCAATGACTTGCCGAGCGCCTTCAGGGGCAAGAGAGACCATGGTCTCAAGGCCATGGATATACTTCAGGTTTGACGCATAGTTGACTCTGGTGGCTGCCTGGATGATATCGTGGGAGAAAAGCTCACTGATCTATCACAAATCGATTAGTATACGAAACATCAGGCAGGATCATGTTGGGCTTACATCGTTGTTGGCGAGAAACTGCTCCCCGGTAACGGAAGTTGCCTTCAAAAGATCCAGCTCGAAGACTCTTTGCGTGAGCGATCGGAAAGGAAAGTGAGGTTTCTCATAGAGCTGCAAAAAGGTCGCAACGGTCGACTGCACGAGCTTCTGCGCCTTGTACGGGGCGGTGCCGTACTTCCAGAAGAGCTTGGCCAAGTTCCACCAGTTCCAAGAACTATCATCTTGGGAAAAGACAAATTTCTCACCGTCCCAAATGCCCAGGAAGCCATCACTGCCAGACTCTGGCTCTTTCAGGGGAAGACCAAAGTTGATACTGGCATTATAGATGATGTGATTGGCCTCGATGAAGATGGAAGCGCCCAGCTCAACTGGTTCGAGCGGGTTGCCGTAAGCGTCGACGGTCAACGTCCGGCCTCCTACTCGATGGGTCTTTTCAAACACAGTTATGTTGACGGGAAGACCTTCGGCTTCGGCGAACTTTTGGAGGTAGTAGGCCGCGGAGGAACCACCGGCACCCGCTCCTACATATCGTGTAAGTACAGGGTTGAACGGCGACGCGCTAAGGTCATGGACAAATCGTCGGAGCTTCAAAGGTTTTCATGAAGCAGCGTTCACGTACCAATGATGGCCACTTGCTTCACGCCATTCTCGGTGACAACCTGCTCAAGCTCAGTCGCAGGAACGGATTGTGTCAAGCTGAGCGCGGACAGCACAGCTGAGAGCTTGGACCCCCACATGATGTCGCGTAGATTGAAGACTACAAAAGGCGAATCACAGAACTAGATGAAGACGATGAAAGAAGGGAGAGATAGGAATGACTGGTCAGGAACAGCTGTGTCAGCGATACGTTTGAGTACGCTTGGAAGATGAACAGGATGAAAGGAGAGCATGAAATAGATTCGTCATTTGAGAGATGTCTCCGGCGTGTCTCCGGGAGGTCCCCAAATGAATTAAACTCAGGGTGAGTAAACAAACCGCTGCTTTACTTTGGTAGCTCTGGAATTTAGTGCAGTTGAAGCTCACCTTTGGTACGACCAACGGAGATGATGCAGCAAGAAACTGAACGGGAGGCGGTAAATGGATCGTCTATAATACTCTCCTTTATTCTATACATGAGGTTATTCAGTAAGAGACGGTCTAAGTATGAATTCTGGATCTTGGTAGATAGGCCACTTGGCCTTCGCAACCAAAGAAAAGATGTCACCGGCACAAGCTTGAGGTAAAGCAGCGGTGTATTCTTGGGGTGAAAGTTTCATTGCAGTGGTCCTCTAGGGGACCCCTAAGTCCCCACGTCCCGGTCTCCCGTTCTCAGCTTGCATTCGCCCCATCAGGAGGCTCTAACGACGCACGGTTCATAGAACGGCGGGATTGCTGACAGATGCGGCAGCCATTCACACCTCACTAGGTACATATTCCCCTGAGCATGCAGCTATGCTTATAGAGAGAATTAGTCAAGAATGGACCACTGCAGGTGCCAGGCACCCACCACCACCAAGCTGGCAATTAGGTAGTGAGCCAGCACCTTCTACCAGCGTCTGACCGCCTGCCACCTCGAGGCAGAAAAAAAGTCACCAGCAGAGTCCCGCATCTGAAGCTCCCGGGGCCAGGTCAATCTCGAGAACACTCCACGTCAGGTCGCTAATCCAATAACTTTACCGACTGATACCCCCTCACGAACCCCTCGACGACCTCAAGCCAACATGTCTGCGGCGCAACTGCTCAACCCAAAGGCCGAATCGAGGGTGCGCGACCCTTGTCCTGACGATATTTGTTTGTATGCTAACGGCTAGTGCAGCGGCGGGGTGAAGCCCTGAAGGTCAACATCAGCGCTGGTGAAGGCCTCCAGGATGTCCTCAAGTCCAACCTCGGCCCTTTGGGCACTATCAAGATGTTAGTCTGTCGCTGTTTATGTCTTCAAATTAGATGCTAACATTAATAGGCTTGTCGATGGCTCCGGTCAAGTGCGAATAACTACCCCTCTTCCCCTGAATCCCCACCGCTAATGCGCCGCCGAATAGATCAAGTTGACAAAAGATGGAAACGTCCTCCTCCGCGAGATGCAAATTCAAAATCCTACCGCAGTCATGATTGCTAGAGCTGCGACGGCACAAGATGATATCTGCGGAGACGGCACGACATCAGCTGTCCTGTTGATCGGAGAGCTCCTCAAGCAGGCGGATCGTTATATCTCAGAAGGACTGCATCCTAGAATTATTACGGATGGTTTCGAGATCGCCAAGAACGAGGCGTTGAAGGTGGGCATCTATCGAACACGGATACTTGGATAGTGGTGCTGACGGGCGAATAGTTCCTTGACGGCTTCAAGCTCGAGAAGGAGGTCGACCGCGAGTTGCTTCTCTCCGTGGCCCGCACGTCGCTTTCCACGAAGCTCAACTCCAACCTTGCGGCCAAGCTCACCCCCGATATCGTCGATGCTGTTCTCGCCATCTACCAGGCACCTGCCAAGCCGGATCTGCACATGGTCGAGATCATGAAGATGCAGCACCGGACCGCCTCCGACACCCAGTTGATCAAGGGTCTTGCCCTCGACCACGGCGCCCGCCACCCCGATATGCCCAAGCGCCTTGAGAACGCCTACATCCTGACGATGAACGTCAGCTTGGAGTACGAGAAGTCTGAGATCAACTCTGGATTCTTCTACTCTAGCGCAGAGCAGAGAGACAAGCTGGTGGAGAGCGAGCGTCGTTTCGTTGATGCTAAGTTGAAGAAGATTGTCGAGCTGAAGAAGGAGGTTTGCGGAAATGACCCCACCAAGAACTTCGTCATCATCAACCAGAAGGGCATTGACCCTCTTTCTCTCGACGTACTGGCCAAGAACGGCATTCTCGCCCTCCGCCGTGCCAAGAGAAGAAACATGGAGAGACTGCAGCTCATC